CCCATACTATAAGAGTATGACTAATCAATTAATTATTTCCTAATATCGCAGACTGAACGTGCTAACTAAGCTGTCTTAGAGATCCTCCTAGAATCAAATCTAAACAGTTAGGTATCTATTGTGTAACATAAAATTGGCTTTGCAATAACGCAACAGAACGTAAAAATGTTTTCGCGTTTGTTCATTTTAAAGTAACGACTGTCATTTATTTTTAACTCGCCACGAAAAGTCCGAATAACAAAATTTTATATTCCTCTCTGCCTTGTGTTAAGATTTTTAGAAAATTTGATGTATCTATCTAGGCTTTCCTTCAAAAATTAAGATTAGCCTATCCCGGAAGAGGTAACCTCAATAAACTTTATAAATAAACTAGTGGGCTGCCCTCGCTTCGCTTCGGTGTAGAGCTGTGGTTTAGACTATAGATTTTTCCAAAGGCTTGTATTATACACAATAACTTTCTTCATAATAATTATAAGCCATCCAATTAAAAAAAATGTTGCATAGTTTAAGACCCTTTGTACCAAATGCACCATTGCTCTGCTGATCCGATTTAAAAAATATTGTCGTATTGGATGGTACATATATCAAGGAAGGCTATATAACATCAGGCTGCGACCAGTAGCAGCGGAACATCAATGAAAAATATTGCAAAAATTGGGTGAGATTCCGTTGCGTGCGCTGGGTAAACGGTTAAAGTTACACAAAAATCATGTACGGCGGAATTGTTACCCTTTAAAAGTTCTATAAAATAGTCAGCAACAGCATATGTCCATATTTTAAGTTTGACTGATTATAAACTTTTTCTTCAAATTAACGTGGGTGAAACCGCAGGGGCAGGGGGGATCTCTAGTTGTGATATAATTATGATAATTAGACATATGGTTTCGCGGACTTTTTTGTAGATATTGATATACTCTATAAAAATTTAGGAGATCACTTTGCTCTATTATCATTGACTTCCGCAGCGTTCGCGACATAAGGTAATTTTTTGGTATTTTTTACACACATTGGGTTATATTATCGAAGTTTTCATACGGAACCCTATTCATGACGGATAATGAAGGATTCTAAATGTGAAAGAATTTTTCGAATCGGTCCAGTAGTTCGGAGCCTATTCAATACAAACAATCAAATCAAGTTTATATTCATTTCATTTTGTTAAAATCAAAACTGTTGCCCAATCGAAGAACCATGTAATTGAATGTAGGTATTATAGAAAAATCTTTATCAAATCACTCGTCCGCATCTTTCAGATCGGAGATAATAATCCTATTCACTCATTAGAGTCTCAGATTTTGATCTTAGGAACTGGGTTGTTCGCAGACTGTCGGCTACAATGTTCGTTATAATGTTAGTTACGCTACTAATGAAGACAGAATCTGCCTAGTAAGGTTGGGCATCACTGCTAGTGATATTATTTTTGTAATAAAAAAATATTGCTGTTATAGTAAAATATTATTATTAAAACGTATTGTCTTTCGTCTCTATATTATTTCTTATGGTTGTTTGTTTCTTTAGAAAACTGGCTACAATTATTTTTTCCATTAAATTTGTTGATGAGAAAAATCGTCCCCGTCGTGAAAAAAGGTTCCGAATACTAAATTCTGTTCGGTCATCCCAATGAATGGTTTCAAATAAAAAAAAATCTCTAATCCACGCCGGAAAAGTCTAAAATTAGATTTTTCATCAATATATCAACTTCATAATGCTACTACTTAATTATACGATTTTAATATCGTAATAAATGTGAAAATTTTTATGTTTGTTACTGAATCACGAAAGCATAACTGAATGGATTTCAATGTTTGGTACCTACGCATATAGTATATGACCTGAATTGAGACATAGGATACTTCTTATTCCGAAAAGAATGTCAAGTTACTGTGCAATTTAAAAAAAACACTAAAATCCCTGACGCCCGCTATTTAAATCATATAGTTGTTCTTAAACAGCGAATCGCTGCCACTAACACCCTGCCTTAGTCCGAACACATTGTCAGAGCTCCAACGACCCGTATATCGAAACTATTGTTTTCTTTTGACCTATAACTATAAGCGAAGGTTTCGAAATGTTGCCCCCAAAGGACTATTAAGTCACAATTCGCTCAAATGAAACAATGCGCACCGCATCTTTTGAAATGAAGGTTTTAAATTTGATACCTGAAACGTTTTTGCGCAAGAGTCGGTCTCATAATGAAGTGTTGCATCAGTATTATTGACAATTGATTACTGCTTTCATGTGCACCATTGTGGTTTTATGTTTCTTCGTACACCCACGAGGTGTACACTTTTGTTGTAAGTGCTATTTTAATACTAGGTTCTTGAAGTATTCTTTGGTAGTGCCTGAAGACTCTGTAGTTTTATGCAAAAACAAAATCACTTATCACCTCGGTATCCGCGGTGTAGTTTAAAATTAAAACACGAATTTCAAAATTTCAAATAACTCCAGCTAATTTTGCGATGAAAATTGCGTTTGGTCTTACAGAATAGCACGGTAGAACCGTTTAAATTGTCTATGTTATAGGAATTCAAGGATAACAACTATTTAGGCTTAAATTATTTAAGTGAAAATTCGACAAGTGCCACCCACACTGCATTGCAAATTGATGTAAAGTCAGTAAACCTAACGGATATTAATTTCGGCAAATTTCAAATAAATTTCGAATCACATAGGCGAATTTTGCGATGAAAAGTGAGTTTATTCTTACAGAAATGCTGTAGGTAGGATCTTCAAAAGCGATCTCAAAGATATGTATAATGAATCACGACCAAATTAAAATATCTCTCTTAACCTGATAGCTTCCACGAAACCTAAAATATTTTTTGAGTTTCATATGTGATTACGTTTCCTTTTCCATGCGTATTTAAGCCTTTAGTTTGTTTCCCTTTACAAACTTTTATCTTCTGTTTAACCTTTTTCGATATTTATTTTCACATAAAATTAATATCTGTTAGGTTTACTGATTTTACATCAATGTGCAAGGCAGCGGGGCAAGGCACTTGCCGAATTTTCACTTAAATATATTTACTATGTAAGTATTATCCTGGGTTATGATATATTTTTCGAATCGCCTATTTATTTATTATTGAATTCCTATAGCATAGACATTATTAAATTCGCTAGTGTGATTTGAAAATTAGATTTCAATGTCTAATTTTAAATTACACCGAGGATTTCGAGGTGAAAAATGAGTTTGTCTTTACAGAAGAGCACTGCTGAACTTAAATCTTTGAAATATTTCGTTTACAAATAAACCCAGAATAATCTGATTGGTACTTATTGTTAGAGTTAGTATCTATCAAATACAGCCGTAATAACCATTTTTACAGTCTTTATCTAAAGCACTATCGATTTATGTGACTGTAAGAGATCGTTACAAAGATATTTGTGCTAGTTAAATAAATCGATAGACTGACTTGCCTATCTATATTAAGCTAGAATTAAGTATCTCGAAAATATGTTTTATTTTTATTTTTACACCGTTGGATTCCGTATCAAAAGACACACATTTCTACATTAAAAAAAGCATATAACTTTTTGGTTTTAAATACATATCTCAATTATAACAGAAAATAAAGCCAAAACCAAGTATTTTACAGAAAAAAATAAAAAACCAAGTATGTCAAACCAGACATACTTTAAAAATGGTAAAGTACACTGTTAACTTTTTTCTATTAGCGAAAATGCAGATACTTGAATTTAGTTTAGAGCAGCTGAAGTATGGATGCATAGATGTTTTAAAGAATAACTTTGAAGTGTTTTCTGTGTGTTGTTACGAAATGAGTGTGTAAAACACTAAATTGGATAGCGGATGATTTGATCAAGTGCGTCGGGCGCTTAGAGAGGCGTTGGCCTTGCACTATCCGAGTGCATTGTTCGTCTGCCAACGCATTCTTGGGCTCACCGACAGCAAAATACCTCTTACCTCTTCGGAATTTATGCTCGCCTGGTACTTTTTTCCAAGTATGTAGATCAGAATAAATCAATTTCTTTTGCTTATTTATTAATTTATAGTTGCAAATTAAAGTCAACGGATCATAATATTACAAACAAGTGATTCTGCGAGACGTAGGCATGTTTGAACATTTTCCGCAATTAATAAAACTTTAAAATTCAAAGTGACTTCAACTTCACCTACCAAACCAGTAGTGAAGCTAAGCCATCCATTGACTCACTCAATATCTTCAAATTGTGGGTCACCTCACAATCTCGTTGCTGTCTATTCTGCGTGGATTGTTTTTCTAGTAAAATTTTCTTTAGATAACACTATCTTTTGGTGGTGTTGTGCTTCTCCTGGTGACTCCGTGGGGTCCTTACCCCATTGGGTTCAGGCCGCCAAGGTGAGAATAGCTGGAACGGCACACTTTCTGCCGCATCAGCTATCTTTGCTACTGAACTCCACATACACTTAACATCAGGTGGAGTGGGGTAATTTGCAATTTGGGGTATAAAAACTTTTTTTTTTAAATAAATTTCGTGCATTACGCACACACATAGTACATACATAATATTAAGTTCTAAAATGAGTTTATTTTGTAAACCATACAAGGTGACTCCCATAAAGTGCATTGTATGCAAAGATTGTCCTGTTTTTGTTCACAAAAGAACGTAGCTCACACTCAAACCTCAAAATTTTGCACCTATTATACTTAATAAGAAAATGCGGTCCCAAATTTTGGCTTAAAAATACTATATTTGTGAAGTAAAAAGTGACCAAAATACCACCCTCATCCTCTTGATGCATGGAATCCATTTTTAACTGTGCGATTTTGAAAAAGTTTTTACTGTCGGCAGCAGTTTTGCTGGACCTAAACGATCCGAAAACCTGAAAAAGTTGCCACCTTTAATATGAAAAATTGCCTTATCTATAATCTTCTTCGAGGACCTTTAACTCTAAACCATTGTTAAAAGCATAAAACCGTCACAAACAGTCACATCACGTAAAACTATTTAATACACTATAACATCTTTATTAACAAACTGTTTCATTATCCTTTCAGATGTTGCTGTCTTGCGTGGTAGCGTGCAGCCTCGTTGCCATGGCAACGGCACAAGGTAACGAATACCTCCCGCCCAGCAAAGGATACAACTACGAGCCACCGTCAGTGCCATTCCCCACCAACAACAATGGCAATAAGGTATATTTTCGCTTGATAAATTTATTTTTTCCCGACTACTAAGAAAGTATATATTTACATGGTTCTTGTTTCCACCAAAAGTTCGTGGTCTTGTACTTGGGATATTATGTTTATGTAGCAAATTTGCTACCCTACCAACCTTTATTTAAATATACAAATATTTTGACACTACTGCTAAAGTAATTTTAGGTGAATTTCTTTATCCTTAAATAACACAAAACAAACTATTTTGCCAACAGCTTACGTTTGAGGACTAGTGTCCTGGGAGAAGGTATTAATTGTGTCATCCTCAACTCAACAAACATTTTCTCACTAAATATCTTTTGTCGCGGTTATTGCTCAAGAAATTCATCTATATTGGACTGGGAGCGCTAGAATATAGCTAAGAGACAGATACAGATTTTATAGAGCAGATAGTGAAAACTTTTCAAAATCAACAGAAAGATCATATTCTAAAATTATTGCAGTCGATAGGCTGGCAACCCACATTATCATCTACGGACGCATGTAAAAAATGGTATCATTTAGCTGTAGCTCTGGTAAATGGTAATGTTTAAATTCTCACTGCAATGCAATGCTTTACCAATCCAGAAAGGAATATATTACGTGTAGGTAAATTATGATATGTGTAAGAAATAGATGAGAAGGATAGATTAGAATTAGAGTAAAGTGTGACCTAGATATTGAGGCACTTTTATGACATTGACATGAGGGCACTGCTTGTGAGCGCAGGTGGTGAAATGAGGATTACTAAGTAAATAAGTAAAATGTCCTCACTAAAGGCAACTTTATGATTCGAGGGGCTGGCGAACAAAACGGTATAATTACATAAAATTAAATTTTACAATAGTATAAAACTGAATGACATACCCACAGTGAGCTTTTGACATGGCTTTTAATTTATAAATTTAGTATTTTTAACACTGTTTTAGGCGGTTTTATTGAAAATTATTTGAGATTCAAATTCAACGGGCCTTTTCTCTGGGCTCTTTTAGCCTCTAGGAATTTAATTTTAGTGGTACCACCCCAAATGTGAATGCAATAACTCACAACTGATTGTGCCCGTGCAATGTAAATTCGCTTCAAAAGGTCCTGCGAAGTAACATGTCAAAAAGGCTTAATTGCACCTCCTTAAAATTAGTTCCGATTCCGGCCACGCGCCTCAAGATCTTGGTTTCACTGTACTGTAATTCTAATCCATTCTTCCAATTTATTTCTTGCACATATCATATTTTACCTACACGCAATACATTCATCAAAAAGCATCAAAGGTGCAGCTTGAGAATTTAAAATGTATAAAATTATTCACATTTACAAAAAAAAATACGGACGCGACGCGACAGATCCCATTACGAAATTCACCTTTCCGCTCGCATAACCTGTCGAGGTTTTAATAACAATACGCTATTCAATACAGCGAATTCACAACCTATTGAAATGTCAAAAATAATTGTTTAATCTAAAATATTAACGGCGATAATGGTGGCCGTGAAATTTTAACGTGTTTTTGTTTTTCCTTCAATTTAAAAGCTCATTGTAGTTATAGGTTAAATGATTTTTTAGCTTACGTACTCATATGCGTGAGTTTAATCAACCTTCGCTTTATCTATAATTACTGACTGGTTGGCTAAATTCATGAAGTTATATATCTACATATTGCACCATTATTAAAAAAAAATGTATGTTTTTTTATGGCATTCATAAGGTGTATGTTGTATTAAAAAGAACATTACCGATCGAATTGAGAACCTGCTTCCATAAATTCGGTTACAAATCAAGATAAATTATGACCTGCTCTGGAAAGAAATCATTGTTTAAATATATAAAGATTTTATTATTTTACTAGAAAAAATATCACGTGGAACAGCCAGCATATGGCACTTTTTTATTAAAAAATTCTTTACGTTGAAACAATCAACAGTAAAATGCTTTAAAAATAAAAAAATAATAAAGAAATCATTGTTTGCGCCTGTTGCTAACTTCTCAGTGCCGATAGTACCTACAATAAATTATAGGGGTTATAGGGTAATAGGGTTAATTGGGCAGGAAAATTTACACTATCATTCCGGAGAGCGTCGCTGAGTAAGCTACTTAGAACTTATCTGCTCAGTCATCATCATCATCATCATCAGCCTATTAATGTCCCCACTGCTGGGGCACAGGCCTTCCCTATGGATGGATTAGGGAGATTGGGCCATGACCCACCACGCGGGCCCAGTGCGGCTTGGTGGGTGCTAACGACAGCAGATGCAGCCGGTACCAACGGCTTAACGTGCCTTCTGAAGCACGGAGGAGCTCGAGATAGTAAATTTTGCTGCTCAGTGCTTGCTTTTAAATGCTTTTCCAAAAATGTTCAACATCCCCATTCTTTACTGAGCAAATTAGCTTACTTAGAACTTTACACAGCGATTGAAACAGTCCCTAAGTGTCTCTGTTTCTTTCGACATCACTGTATTGTCTGTAAGGTGTGCCGAATTTAGCCATTACAATTACAACAGATTGGACATATCAGGTTCAAGGTGATGCTAGCGAGATTAGTTTTCTTTAGATTTAAACATCTAGCAGTTAACTGCTTAAAAAATATAGTTTCAAACTATTCAAAACAAATGTTAGCCTCTTTATCATATTAATACGTTCATGCATTCTTCCACAGCAACCAACACCCGGCCCGTTCAGACCACCGCCACCGACCCCTGGCCCATACCGTCCCCCGGTGACCAGGCCCGCCCCACCAGCGCCGAGACCAACGAGACCGAACACCTACGTACCCCCTCCACCCACACCTAATCACGACGTAAGTGGTTACGTAATCCTAGCCAATTCACAAACTTTATCTACGTACTTAATACACCAGTACCTTTTGCTTGAAATGTTTGAAGAAGTCGCGCATCCGCCCTCGCAGACAAGCAGCTGCGCGCGAGCCCCCACTCGTGACGCCACCAGACCCTTTTAAACGATAGGTACTGGTCTTTTAAGCATGAGGATAAAGTTAGAAAATTTCACACTGAAAGTGCTCGCCACGTCGCGTCGCTGCCAACCACTGCCATTCCGGTATGAATCGGCACTAAGGATAAAAAGGATCTAAGGTAACGCCTGACCCTATCTTCCTTTGATGACCAGGCCATCACCTCCTGAGCCAAGACCAATAAGGCAAAATATTTACGTACCGCCACACTTAATCACGATAAAGTATTTACGTAAAATACCCTGATCTATCAAACGCCAAAATCAAACGCATCACGCTTGAGCAACTGTGCTTGTCACACCGCGAGCCTCTTCAACTATGCCGTAATGTATCTATATACCACGGCGACTGTTCTAAGGACTTATTCTCCTTTATCCCACCCTGCCTATATTGCCACAGACTCACTGTGGCCGGACACTATTCCAACGCGAACATAGAGATTTGGTGACTCAATTCTTAGTCGAATTATCTGCAACCGGAACGCTTTGCCCGTTGACATGATGTTTCCCTCTTACAACCCGGGATCTTTTCTTCCACAGAGGTTTTCTAAATTGGAAAATATATTAGTGCTTAAAACAGACTCTTTCTGTCTTTCCTAGATTACAGAGGCATTTAAAGGTGATTTGCTTGCCGCCCATTAATAAATCGAGTTCATTTAAACACAAATTCTATCGTTAAGGTTCTGTGAATTGCTTTTAAAGCAAATTCAAAGTTGAGGTTTACAAAAATGAAACACATATTTTAACTTTTTATTCAAACATCGTCAATGTAGTGGTCTGGATCATGCCTCGGTGATGGCTGGACATACTTCTTCTTTGGTTTTTCAACGGATCCAGCGTCGGAGTGGAGTACTTCCTTTTCTAAAGCGGTATTAAAATATTTAAAAAATACATAATTTATTTAATACTTCTAACAATAAGATAGCCTCAATATCAAATAAGAGGAATAATAGATTCAACATTCACATTCTTATTATTCCCTGACTCAGCCCTTTTATATTTATTGTGGTGACAAAAGGTAGCCGTCCTTTAAAGTCCTATCTATCTCTATATCAAAACTTGTCATCAAATTCAATACGCTGAATAACAGCATATATTTTTATTCTAGCTAACGAGGACTGCAAATAGCTTTAGTCCCCTTTTATTTCTATATCACTAAATGAATTCATTTTCTGTCTCTTTCAGTTGATTTTTAAAAAAAAACCTCTACTTTTCATTCTTCTTACCTTTTTCATTTGAACCCACATCTACACTGTTTCCCTCCACTGTATTTTCTGAAACAATTTATTACAACGATTCAATATAGTAGTTTTAAAGGAAAAACACTATAAACAAAATACACGTGGTGCTCTTGATATGTAAATATTATTTTGTAATAACTACTTACCGTCACTCTCAGCTGTGAACAAAAATTGAAAATAGTAGGTCTTAAATTCCAGACAACTTTTATGAAAGGTAAATCTCAAGTAATTGAATGAAAATACTTTGAAACTTACTTGGCACATAACTAGGATCCACTGAAAATAATATCAATAAGGTTAATTTAAAAAAAATATATAACAAAGCAACTTCAATTTGGTTTTCATACGTAGCAAGTCTAAAACAAACTATTGAATATATTTGTATATTAAAAAAGGAGTGTCGCATGGGTGTTTAGTACGCCCTTCTTATTTTAATTTTTGTAAACAATCATGCTTACCTTACAATAAGCTAGTAAGTAAACCTAAGGATTTAACTTATTTATTATGAAATTTATATTTATGTATGAAATATTCTCCAATATATTCAGACAATTATTTAGAGTAGAAATCGTTGGTAAAAACGAACAATGAAAACGAATGATCACTATCGACTTTAAAGTATTCACACAATCAAATGCATCACCACAAATTTTATTGTAGGTAGTGTCTAGCCACAAACATTAAAACTTTGTGCACAAAATCTCATACTTTATTTTGCACTTATACTAAATGCCAGAGATAATATAAATAGCGTACAGTGTTGTCATATCTACAATTGCTTTTTTGTGCATTTCTTCGATATCAGTAATCATTATTTTTCAAATAACCTGCGGTGAGATAATGAGAGCAACATGAGTGCATTTTATTGATGAATGAAATGATACTTTGTTAGTTGGTAAATAGTTCTTCTTACCTTTAATAGCTTGATCTGTGGTACATCTTGTAGTAAACACCTTAGGTTCTAAGGTTTCCTGTTTCTTCGAGTCATCCTCATCTTGGTGGCCTTTTAATGGTAATTGATCCCTATCCCGAACTGAAACATGTTTTCCAAATCAGTAGCTTTTATCATCTATTCCATCTTCTATTTACCTTCTTTTCACGACGTATCGCTATAATGTGGTCACTACACTTGGTACACCAAATTTGGCGACTCTTTTATTAATCGCTGAATTCGTAAGTGTAATTCTCAATTCCCAGTGCCACTAATCCAGTCAATGCATGAAAAATGGGGAAAACCTGGCAGTTTAGCCAAACAGCACGAATTTCCAACAATATTTGGATTTGGGTTCTACTTACCGTCTACTTCAAAGTTGTTAAGTGCCGAGAGTAGCTTTTTCTCTGGGGGTGGACGCTCTTCCACTTCTCGGGGATATATATATTGTTTTTGTTAATAATAAGTATAAGATATATTGACAAATTCTAAACAACTTTTATTCTATTAAGTTTTTACTGAAAGTCAATACTTTTCGACTTATTCAAGAGAGGAAAGTTAATATTTTTTTAACAAAAAATCCCCAATTTCAGAAAGATTTTCGTGAATAACTCTTAAAATAAGTATTTGAAAAAATTATTTGCAGTAAATTTGTAGCTTATAAAAAATACTGGGTTTATAATATCAATAGACCCAATACTAACGGCTTAAAACGCCAAAATCGGAATTTTCTACGTGAAATATCCAAATAACAATGCCTTTTCTCGGAAGAAAATCATAGAACTTTTCCCAAATGTGTGTGTCTGTCTCATAATGTGTAAAAATATTAAGAAATCTTCTTTATCAGTGTGTTTCTAGTGCTGCAATATACTTACGTGTATTGATAACTGTAAAAAATCGTGTTTGAGTATTATTAAAATAACTGGCTTTGTTTTTGAGCTTTGAAGTTTAACAAGGAACCATTTCATAAAGGTTTTCTAGATCTATAAGATGATGTAAATAAATTTATTTATAACTAAAGTAAGTGACACAAATAAGGCCTACCTAATTTCAAACACTCATATCATGATAAATTATTCGAAGAGCTGATAAATTATGTCAGGCATTATTCTTTGGTTTATAAATTTTATGTAATTAAGAAAACATATTACTCTTTTATCAGAAATCAATTAAAAAGAGCTAATTCTGGAACCTTAGCCTTTTAAAACATGACTCAACAAAGCCTATGTACTTAAATTATAGGAATATGGTTATTAGAGTATAAATTATATTAAAATATGTTTTTCTGGGCCTTTAATCAAGTGTTTTCATGGGATCCTTGAACAACATTCAAAGTTATTTTACTAAATATTTTGCTTAAATTCCTAGTCAGATTTGAAGTCCATTAACAAGAAATAAAGAACAATATATAAAAAATATATCCATACCAACAAAAATTAGCAAATCAATATATCTTCTTGGAAAATGAATATATTTTGATAGGCCTGAATAAAAAAAGGTAACTAAATAAGGCCTTAGAACGTAACAAGTAGCATAATTCGCTTAGAAACATTAATCAATTTTACTGATAAGTACTTTTTAGTAAAGGTGACTCTATAATCAGTTTGACTGACAATTAGGACATACAAATGCGTCTTTATCAAATTCAACAGAATTCCTATTAAAGCCTAGGACAAAAGTAAGGCCTATTATAGAAGTAGACTTTATTTAGTACATTATACTTCATAAATGTTATAAGCAGTATTTAATTCCCATATTAAAAAAATTAAGTCATGTTTCACTTTTTGATAAGTTATATTGTGATCCGTATACATTACATGAAACACAACTTCAAAGAATAACCTATTTCAAATTCGATAAAAATTACGACAAATTAATAGCACGCTATGAAAACGCTCGTCCTTCACAAAGTACCGCCACTACTGACGCTTTGAGCTCGAGCGGTCAACTCGTGCAGTTTCCCGAGTTGTAGAACTGTCGTTTATGCGTGTGTAAAGTATTTTTGACGTAAATATATTTTTAAAAACTTTTCTGCACTCCAGGCCTTATTTCGGCATAGGCTTTATTTGTATCAGATACCTTATTTGCGTAAACATGAAACAGCCATATCTTACTCAATTTATTTTTAAACAGAAAAAGAAAATAGAAGAAAAAGTTTAAGTAAAAAACCGCTTTTCCGAAAAATGCATTGTTTTTTGACACACTGACCCTTTCGATTTTTTGAAGAACAACCAACCTTTAACAAGCTATTACTGCGTTAGTACTCAATCTAGTGATATTTTAAATCCAGTATTTTTTTATTTATAAGTTAAAATTTTACCCCTAATATTTTTATTGTCACAAAATATTTACAGAGTTGTTAATGAAAAATAGTCAGAAAACGTGGATTTTCTTATGAAAAAAGTTACCTTTGCAGTCGCGAAAAAGTTGAAAAAATTAGTAAAAACTTTTTAGAACAATAGGACCTTAGAGAATGAATCAGTAAATCCATTCCCATTCTTATTTTTTATAAAATAATTTTCATCCCCGAGAAGGGATGGCCTCCACCCCCCAGGGCAAAAGCAACCCTCGGCACATTGACAACTTTAAAGTAGAGGCTAAATAGAAACTTCAGGCAAATTTTGGTGTTTTTCGGTGCTGTTTGGTAAAATTGCTCGGGAACCGTGCATTGAATGGACTAAAACTATCTTTGCGTATAACCTCCAATCACTACTTAATATCGGTCCATCCGAGGTGGAAAAAAATACCAAACCTTTTTTATAATAAATAATGCCTTTAGATTGATTCTTGTTATTTATTCCACCAAATCAAAAGTTCGTGTAGTTGAATTAAAATGTATGATCTCGTTATAAGGATGGACAAATATTGGCATTGCCATTTCCTTTATGAAAATCTCTAAGGGTGTTTGTTAACGAGACGATTTACGGCCGGGTCTAAGGACGGTTTTTAAACCGTGTCTACGTCCGTTGAGTATGGGACACTATGGAGGTTTGTTAACAACACCGACGCTAGCGACTGACGGTTCGAGGTCGGTACCAACGTAGAAAACGTGCTCGTGAACAAGCTTTGCCGGCACTGGCCCGGGTAGAAATAGTCTCGTCAGCCCTAATACGCTAAGTCGTTAAAAAAGGCAACAATATTCTTTACGATTTATAGATTTTCTTTTTAAATTTTAACAAAGTTAAACGTACAACAAATTGAATATATACATATAAACATCTAGCAATGAAATCCTTAATAAAATAAAAATATAAAAATTAATATTTTATTTACCTTCTAATGTTTCAGTCACCGTTCATTCGCACTTATTAGGTGTAGGTATTCTTAGTTAAAAACATCTCTTAAGTACGACTATGTTGATGAAAACCAAAATTTACTTTAGGTGTTCTTTGAACTTACGGCTTATGCCTTCGAGACGGTTTTTCGTTGCGCTAAGCCCGATGTAAAACCGGGTCTACCTCCGGTCGTCAGTGTCGTATGAGACACTATAAAGCCATTCACAAGAAACCGGCGTGCCACGGTTTAGTGTAGCTACTGATTGTTTGTCGCGGGCTTAGCTCCGGCAAAAAACCGTCTCGTGGGCATGAGCCCTTAGCAATCTCTGCGCTAAGAGTAACCCGAGTTCTGGGTTGATGCCAAACGTAATCATGGCAAGATAAAAAGAAACTGTTTTATAGAAATAACAGTACTTACATGAAAAACGTCATTATTACTACATTATAGCAGAAATTATAAAAAAAAACTTGTCGCTTACCTATTCTGTTATCTGAATCTAAAGCAATTTTTATTGAAAAAAAAAATACTAGTTTAGTCCCAGCCTCCTTAGCATGATCATCAAAACGCAATATGATAAAGTATCAACGCGATATGATAAATCATCAGAATGCGATCTGTCGACGTTAACTGTCAAACTACAATGGAATTTTACCCTAGGGCTAAAAAACAAGATTTTAAAATACGCCCCTGTCCCCGTAGCATGAGCATCTCAATTTACGTTAAATCACGTTTTTATCATGTCTAACTGTCAAACTCCGTAGTAATGGATCATATCGCGTTGATTATACTAGAGGGGCAGGTATCAAATTAGATAATAATAAAAAAAATCGTTACAGCAGGTTAGCCTTCATTGTGTGAACTTCTTCTTACAATCTTGTTAGTATACCTAGGCAATGTATAGAATACCTGGGGCGTCGTCAAGGCAATGTATGAAATATTATTATCCATTTTATACTTTGCAAAGGTATTGTATACAATTCCTAGGGATTGTGTAGAGTACCTGCTTATTCACCGGCTATATAAAAAATAAACCGAATCCGACTCTTTTTATCTTAACCAAACCTACCCTAGCCTACTCAGTTGGGAATAAAATGACGGACGGATTTTAAAATTTTCACCGAATAAACTATACAGACCAATGAACGTTTGACTAACTCACAATACGTTAGGTAAGTTAGTATTGTGACCTTAACTAAGCCACCTGATAGATAATACATAAATAATTATCAGTGCCGTCTTTGACCTATTGGAGGGCATATCACGATAATGGGGCCCCTACGACTTCTGTTTGGTGATTTAACAGGAATTAGGGACTTTGTATTTGATCTGAGGGGCCCTCTATCGAACGGGGGGCCCTGGGCACTTGCCCAAAGTGCCGGACGGATCGAATAATTATAGATAATAGATAAATAAAACAAGAAAAAGTCGACTCTACTCGACTATTTTCTTCTACACACATTGCCGACTGCGCATTCGGCATTGTATAGCTGGGAGAAGTACAAAATGAATAATATTTCATACATTGCCTTGACGTTTTAGGCATTCTATACATTGCCTAGGTATTGTATAGAAAGCCGGACTATACAGACTGCCGAAAACATATATAAATAAATATTAATAGCCGAAATATGCGTACATATGCGTGCATAACTTCCGAAAATTTAATAATTATTTTTTATTGTGTTTGTTATTGTCAGAACAAGGTTTGTATAAAAGAATATGAAAAAAATCGATTAAAAATATATTGTGGTACAAATATTGCCGGGTAAGATAAACTAAATAATAAAAATCAACTTAAAGCTTACCGTATTCAATACCTATGGAAAAATATCAGTATCTCTAACTTATATGAAATATTTCTGAAGGAGCAAATTACTGGTGAACTAATTTAAATATTAACAATGAGCAGTAAAATACTAAAACATAACAAATATGCAAAACAATTGCGATACTTTTAAAAATATTTTTTATCGAGCTGCATTGCGAAAGTTTTGACATTTTGAACTTACAATTCCGGCGTCATATTTTATGTGTTTGTTTTTTTTTTTAGTTTGTATCTGCAACTTACTAGGTAAACGATCTCCATAATCTGCAAACAAAAATGAAATCAATGAAAAACTATAGAAAAAGGAGATGGGGCAAGAAGGCATGAGGAAATGTGTGAAATAATACTACCTTTTGGTGGATTTATTCGTGAGTAAGGTTCTAGGGACCTACGGGGTAGGGGATTGGGTCAGGGCAGGCAACGGCGCGAGCGATATTTTTGATATCGATTTGGTATGCTTGTTTGCCATCCACTTAACATAAAAAAATCATGTTGCAAAAGTATGGTTCCCCGTTTTTAACTATTTTAATCTTACAGCCGTTTTTTACTTTATTTTTCTACTATATATAGAAAGGGCCGGAGTTATATTGCCGGAGATTTGAATAAAAAGTAAAAATTAAACACAAGTAATTAGGTTAGTTTAATAAAAACCGGCCAAGTGTGTCTTTTCAAGTGCATATGTACTCTTTTTAAAACTGAACGATAGCGCGATTCAGAAGTCATTGCCGTTGGTACTCGCGGTAGCTTTGTGGAACTAATGACATTTTATTGTGGTTTTTAAATAGATTTTTATAGAATTTGTTTTTCAATGTAAGGTGTTACGCTACTATAACTTCATGTCACTATTTTTTTTTCTGAAGAATTTTCAGTAGGTAAGTAACATAGTCATTTGTTACTTTTGCGTATTGCGTCCTAGCAACACTGAAATCTACTTTATGGAGATACCCTGCCACTTTTATCACTTTAAAAAGCATATCAAATGTCATCTTATTTTATAAAATAATTTCTTAAAATAAATTATAAGGTTACTTACTTCGATCAATCGAGTCGAAACAATTCACATAAACCGGCGACATTAATATGATCTGAAAAGATATTTACAATGAAAATATTAATACTATTTCGCGGCAGGTACTTTTTTCTTAAATGCCCCTCATGCTAAACTGTGATCAAAACAAACCGCCGGTCAATAACGTTCCCGTGCACATATATTTTGTTTAAAAAATATATACTTTCAGATACATCTATCGGCCCACTTAGGTTTATAAGTTCCAACGGTTCGTAGCAATATTATTATATGTTAATAGTTCCGTAATAATTTTAAAAACACGAAAAGATGGTTTATAAATCAACTTCAAAACTGCGTAGGTAATAACTTTCTGCTCATTGTAACATTTATTTTAAGCTAGGGACCGTCAAAACTTAATATGCTAGGTGGGCCACTATATTATGTGTCTGGAAGAATATAATTGTAAAATTATATCACGTTTAAGTCTAATGGTTGTAGTTGTAACAGACATCTGGAGTCGGAAAAGTATTGTTACCGTTTCAATTCGAATCGTTCAGTTTTCTCTTAGTATGAAACTGCTCAATGCAGCGCATACTTATCGGAATTATAACCTAGGGTCAAGCTTCTGAACATGCGTGGTACACTCGCCCCACACTAGCTTACATGTCTCCGTAATCTAGCTTACGTCAATCCGTAGCCTAGCTTACGTCTCTCCGTAGCCTAGCTTACGGTTCTCCGTAGCCTAGCTTACGTCTCTCCGTAGCCTAGCTTACGTCTCTCCCTAGCCTAGCTTACGTCTCTCCGTAGCCTAGCTTACCTCTCTCCGTAGCCTAGCTTACGTCTTTCCGTAGCCTAGCTTACGTCTTTCCGTAGCCTAGCTTACATCTTTCCGTAGCCTAGCTTACGTCTCACCATACGGGAATGGTAACTTTCCGTCAACACTCTCCGTACACTATAGTATAGTAATATTCTATCTAATAACATTAGGTAAAGTAAATTTACAGCAAAATACATAACAAGTAGCAATGAAAACTTGGTCTGTATCAAATCGCAGACTATCAAACAAAACAGTTAATCAAATACTTACTTAAAAAAAAAAGGTAAATTTAAAAAATCAAAAAACCCGACTGCTTACTTATTCTTCAAATAAAAACTGAAAAGAAAAAAACAAGTCCAGTAGTCTATAATTCTGTTAATAAGTAACAAAGCTACTTTAACATTCGGGACCCATTAGATATTCAAGAATATATAATATTTTTCAACAGTGGGTCCCGACTGTTAAAGTAGCTTTGTTCCTTATTAACAGAATTATAGACTACTGGACTTTTTTTTTCTTTTCAGTTTTTATTTGAAGAATAATTAAGCAGTCGGGTTTTTTGATTTTTTAAATTTACCTTTTTTATTTCACACTTTTTAGTTAGTATTTTAAGACGGTATATACCGTAGTCTTGTTACTTCAGTAAGGGAATTAATATCGCGGGAATTATTAAGTACCTTGCGTCGGTCTAAAAGATTGATTTATTAAGACATATAAAGACTTTACCAGCGGGGTCAAGGCTACAGATGGGCCTCAATTTTCGCAAAAATGTGTGAAGTTAAATCAAGTCGTTACATAAATATCTCTAATGTATGTAAATTTTATAGTAAACTAGCACTTACTCAAAAAGTCATCTTTTGTTTATGTTTTTTTTAATAGTTTAGCAGTAAATATAAAATTCATTTACTTTTATTCGTCGACTATTTAAAATTGGCAGTGGCTGCATTGTCATGTCAATGCCGGACGTCTAAGATTGTGATATACACAAATTCAGTGTCAGTCCCTAGTCTCATAATTTGATATACCTACATAATTCACAGAAACCCAATATGTAGATGCCAGAAGTTAACTTCAAATGTTTTTAATCACCCTATATACAATACCAATCAATGACGTTTATGTCGCAGGTTGAAGAAAGAAGTAATTCCCGTCTGTTGTTTTGGACAATGGTGGCAACTGCCTTAGATCACTAAATTAAATAATTATGCAATCACCAAAGCAAAGTTTATAATATTTGATTAAACTAAAGGCGCATAATAAAATTTTCATAACGTTAGGTAGAGCACCATAGCAATCTCATTTATTATCAATTTATAGTTCTCTTTGTAGTTTTCTTTTAAAGCGTTCACATTTAACAGGTCAAAGACTTTGTGTTCGACCCTTTTTTATTGGTAGTGTAAAGCTCGAATGAAGAGTACTCCCAGTAGTGCAATCATGGCAATTATTTTCCAAATTTTTTTTGTTATAAAAATACCGAATAACGTATCACTGTTAAGCACAAATGCTAAGTAACTTTTACAAATATAATCAAATAAACCTATTACTTACTTTATTTTTAAATCTTACTAATATTATAAAGAGGCAAGATTTGTATGTTTGTAACAAATAATCTGTCAAACTACTGAACCGGTTTCAAATATTAATTCATCATAAGGTAGCTACATTATTTATTATAACATCTTTCTTTATTTAAATACATTTTGTCCGAGTGACATAGGCTATATTTTATCCCGATAAATAAATTTCGCCCGTACAATGCCCGGGTGGATCACTAGTAAGTATAATATAATATTATAGATGCGAAAGTGAGTTTGTTTGTTGCGCTTCCGTGCCCTAATAGCTAAATCGAATATAATGAATTCCCATATAGAAATAGATGGAAACTTGGTTCTTAGCTACAACATCGCAATACTTATAGGCGTAGGGTGATAAAAGGGGTGATTTACCTATAAAAATCTACATTATTTACTTTGAATTTTGCAAAATTATTACAAAACCAATATTATCGCGAGCTGATTAATAAATACAGGGATTCCAATAAGTATGTACTTACTAGCGAAAAATGGGTTATTTGTCATTATATTAAGTAAACCTGTTACTTTTTGTAACATTAAGTAATATCTAAAGAAAATATAACTAGAAAAAATTCCACGCGGACCAGGCAGCAGACGGGACTCGAACCCGCACCCTTCGCAATCCGGGCGAATGCACTGACCAATTATGCTACCGCGGCCCTCACGGACCGCGTCGAAATTCTTTCTAGCTATTCTTAAGCTGCAAGGCAGCGCCATCTCTTCGCATTATAGGTAAACCCACAATGTCAAATGAATACTTTTACAAGTATTAAACATTTGAAAGAAGAAATAGCAATTATAGTTATAATTTTTATTATTTTTAAAGCATGTAACTGCTTGATGTTTAAATCTAAAGAAAATAAATGCTATTTCTTCTTTCAAATGTTTAATACTTGTAAAAGTATTCATTTGACATTGTGGGTTTACCTATAATGCGAAGAGATGGCGCTGCCTTGCAGCTTAAGAATAGCTAGAAAGAATTTCGACGCGGTCCGTGAGGGCCGCGGTAGCATAATTGGTCAGTGCATTCGCCCGGATTGCGAAGGGTGCGGGTTCGAGTCCCGTCTGCTGCCTGGTCCGCGTGGAATTTTTTCTAGTTATATTTTCTTTAGATTTAAACATCAAGCAGTTACATGCTTTAAAAATAATAAAAATTATAACTATAATTGCTATTTCTTCTTTCAAATGTTTAATACTTGTAAAAGTATTCATTTGACATTGTGGGTTTACCTATAATGCGAAGAGATGGCGCTGCCTTGCAGCTTAAGAATAGCTAGAAAGAATTTCGACGCGGTCCGTGAGGGCCGCGGTAGCATAATTGGTCAGTGCATTCGCCCGGATTGCGAAGGGTGCGGGTTCGAGTCCCGTCTGCTGCCTGGTCCGCGTGGAATTTTTTCTAGTTATATTTTCTTTAGATTTAAACATCAAGCAGTTACATGCTTTAAAAATAATAAAAATTATAATTAAGTAATATCGTTAAAAAAAATGAAAAACAGTAAAATTCTGAGCTTTTCATTAAAATTCAATAATCATAAATACCTATTATGATAATATATTTTTCATCATTTAATAATAAGGAACTGTATCACAGTTTTAATGTTAGTACTTCATATAGGATCAGATACCGCGAATACCCCATTTTTTTTTCTTTTACATAGTACACCGCGCTATCACTTTGTCATCGTTGTAACTTTTTAAATATTTGTCGAAATGACATAGTGTAAAAAGCAAAGTTTATCGTCTTTAAATATCAAAAGCGATTAAAGTATTTGTTTTGATAAAAAATGATTTGTTAATACAAAATGTGCATTTTAGAAATAGATATCAAATAATATTTTAGTTTTGATTCACTATTTTAGCGGTAATGACTTACACATTAAAAATAGATATATGGTGTCACGGACTTTTTTTAGAACTATTTAAGAGATACATTTTGACTCTACATTACATTCATGTAACTTTTATTGTTTTTGCAGTGCAGGCCAAAATGGCTCGCAGATGGGACATTTTTTTCCGTCTCATGTGACACTTATTGCTATATATTGGCCAATTCACTCAATAACTACATAAATTATTATATATATGTAATTATCATATATGAGCTATATTACTGTTAAGTTTCATTAAAATCAATTCAGTATTTTTTAGGTGAAAGAGTAACAAAGATCCACACAAACGTAAGATTGAAATTAAAAGCGTAAGTGGTTATTATACAACTTTAAAGCGTTGTAGATCCTAAACAATCATATAAAATGAAAAATGGTGATAGGAACCTAAATATGATTTTTGATTATCTAGACAGTGATACCTCACTCGACATATTTTGTCAACTTATTTTTTTTACTTCGTCACAGTATGGCGCCTAATTTTGCCCATATTGAATTTTGATTACTATCATATCTTTAATAGCACTCCCATGATTGAGACGAATCGATTGATGTATGAATCATCAAAATCGGTCCAGGCGTTTGGTCTCTAGTGTGCCACAAAGGAACAAACATACATATATAGACTGTTAATAAACACATAACCCTGTCTGCGCGTCGCGCTTTGCGCTCTTGCATTGCGCAGCCGGGTAAAAAAAATCCGATCACTTGCTTACATCGATATATTAGCTACGGAAGATGATTAATTAAATAAAACGTTGATTACTTCATGATTCATAGTCATGCAGTCTTGATGCTTTCAACCCTTGAAGGGATGAACATCATCTTCTTAATGTCCCCACTGCACAACTGCACATACCTTCTCTTTGGACTGAATAGGGGATATACTATAACGCTAGCCTACAAATTGGTGAATGCTAGCGACTGCAGATGCAGTCTCAGCGAGTTCACAGTAAGGTAACACTATCTTTTATTAGTGTTGTGTTTGTATTGGTGCGTAAGGTGCCGGGGCTACACAGGGTAAAGGATTAGGTCAGGGCAACGGTGCGAATGATATTTTTCGTATCGCAAGCGTCTATAAAGCTACATATGGTGACCGCTTGCCATCAGGCCGCTTGTTTTCCGCCTTTTAACATAAAAAAGAAGTCTTGGCCGACGGTTTAACGTGCATCCCTAATCACAGCGGAGCTTGATATAATATTATTTGGCCCTATGACGTGCAATTACGGTATGTGAAATCCATATTGTTTCATTATTATAAAATCAGCTTCTTAGTTATTTTATTATAACACCTTAGCACTTAATTTAAATAAATTACCCATACATGATGAACAGCAATCCAAATATGCAAACTTTTCGGCATAGTGCACTTTTAATAATTTAAAATATAATGTTATATTTTACTCTACATCTCAAAATGTGCTCTGCGTCGTTAAAAACCGCTTATCGCTCTTTTATGGCATTTTCATTATTAGAATTGGTAACATATTCCTAGAGTTACCAATAAACACTTTAAAACAGGATAAAAAAAAAGCAAGTATTTTCAGACATGTGTCAGACCAGAGTTATAAAAGCCAAAAATTTCTGATTGAAAATCACGAACAAAAAAAATCATATATGTTGTTTACGGTAAAAATATTATAAATGTGGAAGTTTGTATGTTTGTTTGTGATGTCATAATCAACGAATTTGGATAAAATTTGCCAAACTATTGAATTGATAACCTGATTTTTTTTTATCTTCTTAAGTTCCCGTAGGCAAGGTACGCAGGGATATAAAAAAAAGAATTCGTTCACAAAATTTATCCCCATCAAATTAGAGAATTTTGGATACCCTAGATATTTCTTGGACTGGAAAATCGATGCGGACCTTTTTTCAAGTGAATAGTTTTCTTGTCATAGGTACAAGTTTTATGTATGGCAAGAAAACTTGAATTGAAATGTAATCCAGAAGAATACCAAAAGTAAGGTTACTTCGCCTCGGAAAAATCTACAAGTCTGCTAATCTAGATCTGCTAATCTAGATAACAAAATTGCTAAATAAAAGATAAATAAATTGTACTTGATAATTTATCATCAGTAACGTAATACCAACAAAACGTAATTTCAACGTGATTCACGAAGAAGTGGAGGTTATGTAGGAAGTCCAAAGGGGAGGATCCTGTTCCGAGCTGGGTGATGGTAGCCGAGAATTGGCGAGAGGTATTCCAGGCGGAAGGCATCTCGCCACGGGGGGTCTCTCCTCTCCGACTGAAGCCTCTAGACCACTCAAACCTGAGGGGGTCGGCTCAATCTAGTTGACTCTGAGACTCGGAAATCGGCACGGCGGGGAGGCCCAACTGATATTGGTCGGACAGCGGGCATTGCATGTATTAAGAGTAAGTTAGTAGCGCCATCTCTTGAAAAGGCGAGTGATTAATCCTCCATGTTGGTTATATGTGGGGCATGTAGATGTCGCCGCCACAGTTACTCCCCATAGGCGCGTCCTAGGTCCTATAATAACGCTTAGCTGAAACATTATTTCGTTTATTTTCTGGTACCATCTTTTCCGTTAAAAAATCCAGTCCAGCACGATATGGAATCCAATGCAGTTTTTATTGATGAGAAACATCTATTGCTGTGCTGCGGAACCTTATGACCATCAAGGGCCCGTGGACCCACCGGTTTGTCCTCAAGCGATGTTGATGACAAATGCGTCCTGCCTTACGTTCTTTACGCCTACAAGCTTGATCTGTGAGGTTATAATATACCTACAAGAACTGGAATTTGGCCTATATTTGTAGATCTCTTTTAGTTTAATGGTCACTTAGCTGCAGCGAGTAAAGGTTTCGGTTCGATAATTTGTCCAATATTTGTGAGAGCTCCATCGATCTTATCATTACTCCAGTCAGAGACTGCAGCGAATTAATGTTAATGGTCAGTCATAGAATACCGATGTTGGGGTCCAAGACTCCATCATATTTGAAATATGTTTTGAAAATTTAAAAAGAATTTGCATGCTTATTTAGCGAATCATGTTTGAGCATCATATTAATTGTAAAATCTATTTATTGTACCATGTTTCTTGTAAATAAATATATGAATATGAAATAAAAATGAAACTTTATTTCCTTCGTGGTTTTTCTAAAAACAAAAGGTTACATATTTCACCTTTTGATATATCCGTCTGTATTTCCATCAGCACGACCACGAACACCACGATGAGCACCACCACCACGAACCAGGCATGCCGTTCGACTTCTCGTACGCCGTCAACGAGGACGGCAACGACTACAGCCACAACGCTATATCCGACGGCGATGTCACCCGCGGGGAGTACCGCGTTGCTCTGCCCGACGGCCGCACGCAAGTCGTCAAGTATACGGCAGATTGGAAGAACGGATTCAACGCTGAGGTATGCATTTAAACTTTTTCATTAAAGGCGTAATAAATATAGGGAGGAATGGTTTCAATCCTCGGCTAGGTAAGGAAATGCTCTGGACTTCTACGATGTCAACGAGAACCGCAAGTTGTAGTCGTACAACCACAACGCCATCTTCGACGGTGACGTCACCCACGGAGAGTACCTACCGCGTCGCTTTGCCCGACGGCCGTACGCAAGTCGTCTAATATATTACTATATTTTATTTTTAATTCAATAAATTACACGACGGATTGGAACAACGGATTCAATACTGAAGTAACATAAACTTTTCCGCTCACTTGCGCAGCCAGCCTAATTGGCTAAAGGACTGGCATAACGAGACTGCTCGGGAGAGGCGGCGGGGGGTGGAGGAGGCTACTCAGAAAAAACCCAACAATGTCTCTCAAAGTAGACCAACCAAAATTACTCTCTGCAGATTGCATTCTTCTGCGGGATATTATCTAATATGAATCCGCTCGAGCTGGATGGTCAGAGTTTGAGGAAGTGAGAAAACTTAATAAAGTATCGTAAACTTAGGATGGGTGAAAAAATGTATCTCAAGCTCTTCTACTTCAGAAAGCACTTCAGGCCGTTGGTGCTTTCTTTTTATCTGCAGTCATTAATGCCCACCAATCCGTACTGGGCCTGCGTGGTGTTTCCTGCCGATTCTCTCTATTCCATCCAAACGGAAGGGCTGTACTCCAACAGTGGGAATATTCAAAGGCTAATGATGATGACGATGATGATATCCGCAATACCCTGTCTCTATTTATGGTTCAACTTCAGGTCGCAATTAATATCACCCTGAGTAGTTATAATAGTCGACAATGACCAATTTCCTTACTCATCCCAAACTAGTAATTCTTACTGGACCTATTTTAATGTATTTTCTTAATTTAACCTCTGCTGCTCTTCAATTCCAGGTCACCTACGAAGGCGAAGCCCGGTATCCGGACCAGCAACCCGGTTATGGAAGCGGCCCAGCGAGTGGTGGACAGAAATACGTACCTCCGAGCCAAGGAGGCGGATACCAATACTAATCTTACCACTCAATTTGCCTGTAACTGGCACTGTATCTACTTCTCTGAAATTTTTAAACGCTTTCAAACAAAGCGACTAAATAAAACCCTTAATATTTATAGAAACTTACTTATAACATTTTGTTTTGTTATAGTAAGATTACTTTTCTTTTATTAATGACAAGAGATTATAGTTCCGCTCAATGACAACTAAATATTGCTATGAAGAGAATCCATCTGTACAATACTGATCATATTGACTACAACTGTTAGAATAAACCCACAATCAGAATTTCATTTATTCAAATAAAAATTAATAACAGTTGCAAGAGTAATGTGAATTAATAAAAAGTATAAAACACTTCATCATCCACGTCATCAGTGGTTTTAGATACCACTTATGACAAACTTAACTTATGATAAACATTAAATTGTACTTTGCTAATTCAATACGAAAAAAAAATCATGAATAAAATAATTGTTAAAAGTTGTCATTATAAGTGTGTCACATGAATTGAAACTTGAAAAGTTACCATATAGAGTTACCATTAGTTTTACTACGTATTTAATTAAGGTATTATTAATATTACATATATATATATATATTAAGAAAAAGGCAAAGCACCTTTTATTAGACCAAACTACTGAAAATTTTAAAGGAGCATTATTAGAGGTAAGTACTGCTAAATCTTGTAAAAAAATGTGCCTTAATGTTATTATACAATAACAGAATATTTTATATAACAAAAGGAATGTTATAATATTATGTATATATGATTTTTATGATTTTCAATAATTGATTGAATAGTTTTTTTCTGCATAGCTTTAACTTCCAAAAGTTATGTAAAGTTAAGATACATTATAACATTGTTAATTACCCTTAATATTATAAGATAGGTAAAAGCAGTAACATGTGATTTAAGTAATAAATTCAGACGAAACTAATTTAAGTGATGGAAATTATATCTCATTATTTAATACTCAATTTCATAACTGGACAAAGTATATTTATTGTACCTGTAGTTAAAAAAAATATTGAAAAAGTTGTTATTAAATGTCATTTTGTACCTTCTTTGTATAAAAATAAATAAGCTTTATAAATCAGTATTTTTTATTCATATTACTATACCCACATTGGAAGTAATTTAAACACAACACCAACATAATCATCAAACCAAAATAATATAAATATGGCATGTGAAGATTTACAAAGAAAGTACTAAATTAAATGGCTATTTTATAAAGACTATATTAATTAAAAATGTACAACAACCTTCTTTAAAAAGTTCATTGAAACAATAGAACTTCTTTCTTCTTCCTCTTCATATAAAAATATATTATCACCTATTTAAAAAAAACACACAAAATGAAATCACATCGCTAAGGCCCGTATTACAGAATGACAACCAAGTGTTGATCTTTACTTGAGTACATTTAGAAAGTGATATTGCTATGTATATATAGCGACATCCCTTTCTAACTATGCTCAAAACTAGATCAGTCACTGAGAATCTTTCTATAATACAGACCTTAGTCTACAGTGCAGATCTAATAGGAATGTGCAAGTGAAGGTTGAAATGTATCAGATATATTGCATGTTAACAATTACAGAAATCCTCTATAGTAAAAGTAATATTGAACAGTACCATACTTAGTAGAGTTACTCAATTTTTACCAACACCATGATGTTTCTTTAAGTGTGTATTGAGTTCACTGTTGAAACTAAATTTTTTGTCACATAATACACAAATGACACTTTTTTCCATATGTTTCCTTTTGAAATGTGCTGTTCTACGGCTTGAAGTGACAAAGTTTTCCTTACAAATTTCACATTGAAACGGTTTCTCACCTGTGTGCAAACGTAAATGCTCCAACAAGGTCTTTCTGTGAAAAAACTTCAAGCCACATTGTTCGCATGTCATACAGCTTCTCTCATTGTGAATTATCATATGTTCTATGAGATTACTGTTTCTGTAGAAACCCTTCCTACAGATATTGCAAATAAATGGTCTAATCTTTAAATGAATTTTATTAATATGCCCTGTCAAACTACGTTTATTTTGACTTTTAAAGGAGCATCCATCACATGAATAATATATCTTTGTGCGTTCCCTCTTTGCTGAAAAATTTGGGTTGTGACTCTTTACATGCAACTTAAAATGTGAATGAGATTTAAGTACTTTAAAACAGTATGGACAAGTACTTTCTTTGTGCGATTTTAGGTGTGCTTTAAGCGTACTTGTCTTTTTACAGACTTTGCCACAATATTCACAAACGGCAGCCTTATTTGAAGTATTGTGTGCGATTTTAGCATGATCTTTCAGCATTTCTTTAGTAGGAAATGTCATAGGACATCTTTTACAATTTACTGCTTGAATAGATGATGACAATATTGATACCTCTTTTAATTCTTCTTTTATTAATGACTCATTTTTCAATTCAACTACAGCTGCATCTTTCTGTGTAATTTCTTCATGCCAAGGTAATTTCAAATTTATATACAATTTATTGATGTGTGCAAAATTTGATTTCACCAAGTCAGTTTCAGTATATAGCCTTTCTGTAATTTTACTTAGGATTTTCTTTTTGAAAAGATTTCTTTGTAATGTTGTAAATATCTTCACTAGTAAGTCGACACACTCAATGCACGCTTTATTACTTAATATATCCTGAAACTTAAAGGTACAGTTATTAATAAATGCTAGCTTGGTCTGTAAATTTCTAATTTATATTAATTAAAACCAGTCCACTCACATATGAAGGAAACAAATAGGTTATTATATCTTTTAATTTCATTTCTACTGTTCCATATTCAATGAAAACGACAAAATTCTGAAACAAACTGGACATGTTATCACAGATTTTGAAGCAAAGAAAACAGGACGACTTTAGGTTATTTGAATCCAAAATAAATTTTAACATATCCATGTCCGCTGAACTTCTTTATTCAATTAAAGTTTGTATCAGTTTCATACACAAATCAACTAACAATATAAAAAATTAACGCCAGTAAAGCAAAGATTTGAATCATAAAAACTAAAAACTGCGGGCTAGGCTCTAGTATTTTGCAATGATCTTTTTTTTTCACTTATCCCTTTTCTGGGAAGGCAAGAGGAACAATGCCCATACAGTCTCATCTTTAGTTCTTTTTTTTTATGGTGATGACCGCTTTCACATGGTTTTTTCACATTACCATAGGGAAGTGAAAAGTCATTTTGTCATCGCAAAATATACTACTGTTTTAAATGCGACTCTGAGAGAGATTTTTTGGATATTTTATCCAATATTGGTGTCGATTCTGCAATGTTTCTCTAAACCTTAAATTTGACAATAGTGTACCCTTGTCCTTCTCTATAAAGAATGAAAAAGAGAGACTGACGTGAAATTTAGTTTTAAGTGCTAGAGTTTCTTGCCAGTATAGACACCACTATGTACAAAATTACAAAATGTAAACAACTGAATAAACTGATCAAGCAGAGTTATGCAGTAAGGGTCTTCATTAGAAAAGGTATTTTCTAAACTTATTTTTCTATAAGGCCGCTCGACACTCCTTTAATCATTAAATATTTTATATACGAAATGACAAAACTGGTTTAAAATACTTAGGAATATAACTTTTGTCAGTGGCACATCCCTAGCTCGTCCTTCGGGTTCTTCGTTAAGCGTGTCTATGCGTCAATGAGTATTCACAAAAAATATGTAATTTGGTAGCTGACTACTTCACAGAAGCTCACAGAGAAAGCTGGAAATCGATTCATTTCCTGTAAAACATTTGAGCGGCTCACTCACACCCATCATACCTTAATATACGTAATGTAAAGAAGAATAGAAACACTTGAAACTTGGATGTATTAAAGTACTATCCTCTGACTTCTATATTTCTGTGTGTGATATTGAACTTACAAAAAAAATACAAACAAAGCAATATAATAAATACATAAAACAATATCTCAAATATTACTTACAATAAAATTATTAATATAAAATAATTTTCTAATTCTAATAAAATCATATAATAAAACTAAACATAATGCTGTATAAGCATTGTTCCTTTTGCCTTACCTGAAAAGGGAGAAGTACAAAAAAAAGAGAAGTTAAATGTCAATTTTTTGTGGATATGTTTTGGTATTTTGCTATTTTGTAATTGATTTTAGCTTTAATTAACTATTAATTTTGTGCTGTTTCTCGCTCTCCACATGAACATGTATATATTAGCAAATTTTGTTGGTTCTTGAAAGAAAATTTCCGTCTAGCACAAATTGATCTGTGAATTCCTACTTTGGATTTTTCTATAGTATTAAAGGCAAGTTAAAAATTATTTAAGCTACAGCTATTTTATAATTACAATTTCAAGCAAAGATAAATTAAAATTTCATTCTTTATCAAATATAATAAACTACCGACCGCCCTCAGAGACGTTATTAAACTAAGCCGTACTACCTTACGATGACACAATGCTTTCTCAACTTGCGATGAGTTCCAACATACAGATTACTTCTGAAGTGTGCATTGCTCCTCGTGTTAATCCTACGGGTCGGTACCATCTACCCCGGTAGTCCCGCCCCGTTAACGGACAGTTTAAAAGAAATGTTCCCTGACCCCATTGTTTAACGGGGTGGATGGCACAGATTAAGTACCCCGGCGTGTTTTTATAACGGGGCGCTTAGCAGGGATTAAGTAGATAGGTTATGCTAACTGCTCCGTTAGGAGTTTTACTGGATTTTCGCAAACACATTTCGCACATCCCTGGGGGAAATGCAGCCTGATTCCGCAAGACAGTAGGGGTAGAATGCAGAAATGGGAGAACTCCTTGATAACAATCTATCCCTAGCTGAATCATAAATTAAGAAAATATCTAAAATTTATTAAATCAGGGCAAAATAGCTCCAACATAGGTATATAATTATATCAATATAAAGAAAAGAGTATTGTATTTCGTGTTTTGTTGGGTTGTCCAAATAGGACAAGACAAGTTTGGGGATTGTATATATATTTTATTGCTTAGTTATATGATTTACAGGTTATAGAAAATAACAGGTTCCTGTGGAATGAGATCCACTTTTTGCCTATACTGAGCCCATACCCCAGCATGAGCACTGCGGGTATGATATATAACGCGTTTTTCTATTCAACATCATGGTCAATTTACTATAAAGTTAGACTCAATAAAAAACATGATTTAATGTAAATTGTGGTGCTCATGCTACAGGGACAGTTTATGTATTATTCTTATATATTTATTTTTAATATTCCAGCTATTGGTATATCAATAAAGTGGATAAATGAACATGAAAGTGACTGAAGGCATGAATTATGAAGTAAGAAGTAATATTCAAAACTTAAAGCAAAAACTGACGAACATATTTAAACTTACAAAATTTTGTGGTATTTGCTTAGATGATGATAATAATTTTTGGGAGATAGATACCGAATTCAACATTGCTGTTGACCAGCAGACACAGAAATTACTGTTAAAAGATATAATCAAATACATTCTAAATAGTGCGGTAAGTCTATTTGTTATTGACATAAAATGTTTTTGGGAAAAAGCATTGATAAAAAAAAATTAAAGCACCTTTGAATTTAAAGTATCCAATTGTATTTTTAGGGCGATCAAGTGCTTGCAAGTTGCCACATCTGCAGTAATTGTACTGAAAAATCAATACAAGCATATCTATTCATCTACAATGCGAAAAATGTATCCCAAACTATACACAAATGTGTTAATGAACTTTACTCAAAAACAGTTGATGTTGATGATCAAATAAAACAAATTGATACTGGATATGAGAATACTAACGTTGTTATTGTATTAGAGCAAGACTATGAAATGTGCCAATACACAGACATAGGTACTGAAATTAAAGAGACTCCCAATCTAATAAATGAAGATAAGGACTTAATAACTATTTTAAATGAAAACTCAAATCAAAATGGTTTGGAAAATTTTGAAACTGATGAAACTATACAAAAAGAAAAGGTTGTTGTTGAAACTATTCAACCTACCATTGCTGATATAAATTGTGTAGCTGAAGAAGAGGATTTTATGAAAGAAGTGCAGACACACAAGGAGATACTATCGGAGAAGAATCATTTTGACAATACAAAGAACATTATAGATATCTCTAATCTTACAATGAGTTCACAATTAAGTAATGAAAACATTGATGACAAAAATTGTATAGAAATTATGTTTGTTGATGAAGAATTGAACATTCACATGCCTGAATATCACAGTGATTTAGAAGATAATAGAAAAGATTCTATCGTTATATCAGCTCCTATAAAAAAGAAAAGGCTGGCAATACCATCTCTAACATACAAATGTAAAAAATGTAAGGAAATAATACCATCCTACAAAGGTTGGAAAGAACATGAAAAGATATGCCAAAAATTACAAGTATCTAATAAACACACATTTCGTTGTAAAATGTGCAATGAGTTATTTATTTCACAAAGCAAACTGTTGAAACATTATAAAACTCATTCAAGAGTGAGATGTAAGGTTTGCCAATTTATTGTACCTCAAGAAGATTTAACAGAGCACATGAAAATTAATCATGAAGATTATATCCACCCTTGTAAATTATGCAAGTACTTTGCATTCAATGCCGATGCGTTAAAAGCCCATATGAAAAAGAATCATAGTGGTTCAAAGTGTGCTTTGTGTTACAAGAACGTGAGTGAGGCAGATTTGAAACTGCACAAATGCAGATTCAATTGTTTAGAATGCCTCGACAATGTTTGCATACATTACAAATATTTAGTGTCATTTAGAGACCAAATTTTAAACAACTTCACCAAAATAAAATGTGTTGATTGTGATTATATATGCACAAGAAGAGAAGCTTTACTTAGTCATGCCAACAGAGAACATTTGGATCATCATCCTTTTACTTGTGCACATTGTTCTCAACAATTTTATTCGAGAACTATTCTGAGGCACCATTTAAATCAATTCCACAAAGAAAGTAATATTTGTGAGTATTGTGACCAGGAATTCAGCACAACATCCACATTAAATAATCATAAAGAGACTTGTCAAAATATTCAAAGACACCACAAGTGTGACCAATGTATTAGTTCATTTGAGACTTTGGTGGAATTGGCTAATCATGTAAAATTAAGACATGCTGGAGGTTCTTCAAATTGCAATTTATGCAAAAAGCAGTATTTGTCCAATACTAAGCTACAAGAACATATTTTTAGAGTACACAGTGGTTTGCAAATGAAGAGAAAGAGGAGTATTTTGGTTTGTCCAATATGCGAATTGAAATGTGATAGCAAGAAACAGCTCTTAGATCACATAAAGATACATGGACCTAACTCAAGATTACCTTGTAAAGATTGCAATGAAGACTTTGATAGCATAAAAAAACTACATGCGCATATGCGGATTCATTATGATGACGTTATTCAGTGTATGGAGTGTAAAAAGGTTCTGACTGCGACGTTTTTTCCGCATCATATGGTATATTGCAAACCTGGTAGAGATGACAAGGATGTATATACTTGTGAGACGTGCGGAAAAACTTATAATTCAGAAATACAGTTGAAGATACATCATAAAACCCATATGGAGAAAATTCCCTGCCCCATATGCCAGAAACCAACAAAACCAGTGTACATGAAAAACCACATTAAATTTATGCATGTTCAACCAAGAAAATCTAAAAAAGTTCCAAAGACAAAAAGTAAATATTATATAAAGTGCGACTGGTGTGAACACTTGGTGTCTAGACATGGGGAACTAGAAACCCACGTGAATAGGTTTCATTTGAAAATAAAGCCTTATCAATGTCACTACTGCACCAAATCATTTTGTGGTAAAGAAAGACTGAGGGACCATCTCATCACACATACGACTGCAAAAAACTGCTATTGCAGCGTTTGCAATAAAAAATTCGAAAATAAAACATGTTTAAAACTACACATGCGACGACATACGGGGTATTCGCCTTACGCTTGTGAAATGTGCGGTGAAAAATTCCGTACGTCCAGTATGATGAACACCCACAAGATAAAAAAACATTCAGAGAGGTCAGTCGCTTGTCCACTTTGTGAGTCCATGTTCTATTTGACGAGAGAAATGCGGAGTCATTTCAAAAAAGTTCACTGGAAGCAAAAAGGAAAGAAGTTTGATCCCAGAGATGTGAAAGAATTGAGTCCCGCCTTTTATCATCTATTTGAAGATGGGAGATTACCAAAAGTTGAGGGTGAAGATTTGAATATATCATCTAAATGTAATGAAAAATTCAGTTGATATGATGAGAAATAATTTCTAGTAAACCAATGAGTTAATGCTATTGAAAATTATGTTACATCTATGTGCCACACATTTGCATTTCCACACTATTGATCAGAATCGATGTTAATTTTTGAAAAAGTATAAAAAAGTACTTGCTTCAAACCTAAAGATAACTTGAATCTCGCCAAAGCAAATCTTGAGCTTTGATACAATTTGCTTTGCGATTCAAGTATTTATAGGAAATGTAATAGAATAGTCGTGCGAAGATTCGTGTCCCCGTTGTCGCAACTTCGATCCAAGATGAATTTGTAATATATTGCAAACACCTGCATTTCAATAAATCGCGAGATGAATCTATCAACTTGGTTTTCTCTCTGCATACTAATTCTTGCGTCTTTAAAGTAAAAAACAATGCGGCAGTGTCGAAATATCGGGGATACGCAAAGAACAACGTATTGCCCTATAAGGCAGCAATCCCGCTACTAACAAAAATCACTGTGTTAGTGACCATGAAAGGAGGAGCTTAATGGCGCAAGTGCTTATCACGTTCGGCCTGCAATCAAATTGGATGGGTGACCAAAAACTTATTACCTTGGAGCTCCTTCGTGCTTCGGAAGGCAAGTTAGTCCCGGTTGCATCTCCATTCGTTAGCACCCACCAATCCGCACTGGGTTCGCGTGGTGGATCTTTCATAGCCCAATTTATCTATTCCATCCATAGGGAAGGCCAGTGCCCCAAAAGTGGGCTCATTTACAGGATTATCATGATGCTTGTGAAAACGATATTTATAAGCCCGGATAGCGGATTGCTGGTTCGAGCCCCGTCTGCTATCTGGCCGCGTGGAGTTTTTTCTAGTAAAATCTTGTTTAGATTTAAATATCTAGCAGTTAAATGCTTAAAAAATAAAAATGTATACATACCTAATTGTTCATAAATAAATTAATAAAACTTTAAAGCAGATACTTATTTGTCTAACCTATAGACGTAAGGCCGGTTTAAAACCAATTAAACCAATCCGTTTAAAACGAAAAAAAACGTTTAAAACCGAAATAAACCATATTTTTCGATTTAAAACGGTTGGTGTTGATGACTATGTTTTTCTTAATTATAACTACATTGTCTTGATTTTACCGAGGTAGGAATATAACGAAGTACCTATAAACTGTATAAAGTTTTTTTTTAAATGTGTGATATACTTAATGATATTGATATACTAAGCGAGTTTAGTTCTAGTTGGTCCATCCGCGACCAAGCAAAGGTATTACCTACCTAAGTTATAAAAACTCTATAAGTTAAAAATACAGTATAGAAAGACGACACGGGACCATCTCGCCAAAATATTTAGGCCAAACAAAACATTACTCTTCAAAATCTGTCTACGCATCATCTATATGCGCGAAAAATAATAAAAATATATATTATCCTATTTAAAGTCGGTTGAAAATAACGTTGCACTCTGTTTCTATACGTAGTCACATTATAAAAGGGTGCTATATTATACTTTAATAAAACGAAGAGCTATTTACAATTTAATTTTTATTACAATATTTTCTGTCACTTGAGTTTAGATCACTATTTATAATCCAATTAATAAATAATAGTTAGGTACATCTTAACTTTTAAGTAGATTGATAACTTTTTACTCAGATTACAGAACTTAAGGCCAATGTCGCGTAGTAAACTTTCGTGCGCGCTACCAAAGCAAATATCAAGTCAAAAGCGGACATAAACTCGCGTCAGCACACTACAACCTTAGATTAAACCAAAAAGGGAAGATACGGCATTCGCGGCTCAAAAGTGATCCGTTTAAATTGTGGTGCATAACCATAATTCGCTTTAGTCACAATTGGACATTCAACATGCTGCATGTGCACTTAATATAATAATATTGCGTATATTCTGTGTTATAAAGATAAAACAATTAGTACAGTCAATCTGTAGGTTGAGTGGTGAAAAAAAAACCTAAAGGGTAAGTCTTGTTTTTTCTGTTACCAAATGACGTCAGTAAGCCACCTTGGCGATGGGCATGTTCAACTCGTAGGCGTTTTTTCAAAAACTCAAAAAAACCGTCAAAAATTTTTTGAAACGCATTTTTCTTGTTTTGTATGCATTTTAGAAACTTTTTTTTTGACCATAATTGTAGAGGGCGTTGAGTACTACAATTTATGTCAATGTTGCAATCTCGTACAACAAAAAATGCGCATTGTAGGTGGCGCTAGTCTCAAAAAAAGGGTTTTTTCACTTTTTCACCCTGAAAATATCATTTTAATGGAAACCTTTCAATGGCAAAGTTGTTTCGTACATAATTACCAACAACTTTTGTATAAACAATTTTTTTGTATTACTTACCGTTTTCAAGTTATAAATTGCGCAGGTATGAAAAATCCAATAGAGCGGTTTTGGGCAGTTCAAGTACACATTTGCAGTGCACATTTCAATGTACGTTTTTACTATTTTTTTTTCAATCATGAAAAAAAATAAAAATAAAACTATTATTTTTTTTTTGTTTTTCAATCATGAAAAAAAATACAAAATAGTAAAACGTACATTGAAATGTGCACTGCAAATGTGTACGTGAACTGCCCAAAACCACTCTATTGGATTTTTCATACCTGCGCAATTTATAACTTGAAAACGGTAAGTAATACAAAAAAATTGTTTATACAAAAGTTGTTGGTAATTATGTACGAAACAACTTTGCCATTTAAAGTTTTCCATTAAAATTATATTTTCAGGGTGAAAAGTGAAAAAACATTTTTTGAGACTTTAGCGCCACCTACAATGCGCATTTTTTGTTGTACGAGATTGCAACAATTACATAAATTGTAGCACTCAACGCCCTCTACAATTATGGTCGAAAAAAAAAGTTTCTAAAATGCATACCAAACAAGAAAAACGCGTTTCAAAAAATTTTTGACGGTTTTTTTGAGTTTTTCAAAAAACGCCTACGAGTAGAACATGCCCATCGCCAAGGTGGCTTACTGACGTCATTTGGCAACAGAAAAAACAAGACTTACCCTTTAGGTTTTTTTTTCACTGTAACGATATTTTTTTCGACAGATTGACTGTACTAAATGCCTTCTTTAGAGAACACAAATAGTTCAAAATCAAATAACAAATGCCTCGGCAACACTTTTCATTCGTAATCCTGTAAAATATTTTTTTCTCAAAAATCACGGTTTGTCGTGAATGTTATTTACGTAATCACCATTTTGATATCAAGTAAAGGACAACAATACAGCTCAGCCGTACGCACTCGGAAGCGGACTCGCCGTTTCGCTCGCGCTGCGTTGAAGCGTACCTATAATGCGATTCAACTAAGAATAGGATCGACGGGGCGCCATATTGTGACGTCATAGCTGTCAATTCATACGAAAAAGGTAGAGTGAGCAAAAAAGTTTTTATTTAATAAAAGTTATTTACTAAGATTAAGTGAGAAAAAACATCCGATTTTTTAATAAAATTTATTTACTAAAATTGAGAAAAGAAAATAACCGATTTTTAGTAATATTTATTTATTAAGACTGTGCGAGAAAATACATTAATCAGAATTAAGCTCTTCAATTCCGCTCATCTCTGCATTACCGCCGGAGTAGTTATGAATAATCATGCACTATTACTAGGTCACATACGAACATGCATTCTATATGTAAACCAAAGTTTTAAATCGAGTTTCTGAACGCAACTTAAAGTGACATTTGGTTGACGATTTAGGTTATCAAACATTCATAGCCAAAGCTCAATAAATGAAAATAAAATATCAACCAATATTAATTAACAATATTTGTTATTGTTTGTTTACAAATGTTTGGTTTTTATTCCATAATAGGGAAGATGCAATATTTTTGTTTTCATTTTAAAGAATTCCATGTAGAATAAACCACAGATATATTAAAAAATTAAAACATTGTGATTTATCGGAAAAAATGCGGTTTTAAATTGACAATTTAAATTTTCGCGCGAAAACGAACCTATGGTTGCGATGACGTCACTCCTGTCTGTCACTGGTCGTACTTGTTCGTCGCTGGCTTTAAATTTTCATACTTTTGCATATTTTATCGACTTTCGAAATATTTTTTTGAAAAATTTAAAATGGACTATCCATCAACATCATGTGATCATAACAATACCACTAATATTCCGAAAAAAAGCGTGTTTACTCATGTTTTGTGCCAATCTACTTCAACAAAGTTTCCAAACAAATTGTTTTTGACTGGAACTTCTGACCCAAAACTGAAAAAAAAAGTGGTTTGAAGCTGCGAAGAGAAATGACAATTATTCTCCAAAGACCATTATTCGATGCTGTGAAGATCACTTTGACGTAAGTCGGCGAATATACTTGTTATATGCTTAATTAATCTGCTTGTACGTAAAAACGCATTAGTAACCTACCTAATACTTACAAAACCTGTCTATAACATATTTTTAATTTTACAGTTGGAGAATGACGTCGAAAATTAGATAAACTTTAAAATGTGTGGCACAATCTTCACATTGGCAGGACTGAACCAAGCTTTGCGTTTCATTTAAAATAACTGTAACACGATAACCTTCTTTACGTACTTTATGCTCCGGAGAACTCGACCTTTTACTGTACATAATTCTCCATCTCTTTTAATTTGGACATAGCCGATTGCATTATCGCCGTAAGATTTGTAGAAGCCGCTGAATAAAATACGAAGTTTAACAACTATGATTTTTACATACCGTAGTAATTTAGTCCCTTTCATTTCTACACTTAAAAACTCTGCACTTTGGACAAAAAAAGTTATAACCATGTCAACACTAACTCTTGGTAAATTCCTGGAGTCTGCTTTGATAAACGCAACTTCCATTTTTATTAAATGTAAAAAAACGCAATTAATATTCCCATAAAATAATATTTACTTTTACAACCATAACCTCAAAGAAGTTGTCATAACAGGAGTGACGTCACTAAACGCTGATTTGTGTTTTAAAATACGTTCTGTTTCAAGTATTTTTAATTCGTAATAATTGTTAAAAAACAACATTATGTAAAATAAAAACGTTGCAGTGGCATTTCTTTTATATTTTTTTAACATTTTAATCATAAAATTTTCATAAATATTATATATGCATCTTCCCTATTAGCTGAGTGCTAAAAGAGGGTTCCAAGATTTTTTTGCAAGCCGTACTTTTCAAGCGACATTTGACAGATGGAGGTCATTGGCTTTCCTATTCTCATTTGAATCGCATTATACAGTTCTGTCTCGCTCTCTTAATTGAATGTTTGTTCAAACCATACAGACGGGCGCGTGAGAGTTGCTTATGTAGTTGAGTCGGATCATATTTTATTTGATGCTAGTATGAGCGTACCGTATCTTCCCTTTTTGTTTTAATTTAAGGCCCGTATTACAGAATGACAACTAAGTGCAGATCTTTACTTGAGTACAGTTAGAAAGGGATACCGCTATGTGCTATATATAGCGACATCCCTTTCTAACTATGTTCAAGACTAGATCAATCACTGAGAATCTTCCTATAATACTGGCCTAAGACTACAACGCATCGTGTTGTGAATACGTCCCGTGAATATTAAGTTTTTTTATGAAAACAATGCCGCCTTATTCAAACATTGTAAAAACTGTTAATTTTTTTTTTAATATTGTGTTTACTTTTTTGACTTAATATTTGCTTTTGTGGCACGCAATCTGTTTACCGTGTGTGCCATCTGTCTTTTGTTCTGTAATCAGAGACTTTTTGAAACAGCGTGAATATAGTCTGTTTCTAAATAAAATAGTCACCTGCAGCTATTACATTGATAAAGAAAATATAGAACTGTCACCAAATTAATGCATTCGTTCCGAAGATTAATAAAAAAAAGCCTATTGAAGGCGAGCTGTCAAAATTAACCAATCCTAACCGCTGCTGTTTTCAAATTTAAACTCAAAAATCATTTATTCAGTCTAGGCTGTTACAAACACTTGTGAAGGTCGAGTACTGAGAACAACCGGCAAGAAACTCAGCAAGGGCTGTATTTTTATATACAGAGTCGTCAAATTGAAAAATTACTTCAGATATACTTCTGAAGTGACCTTCTAATAAAATTTGACAAAAGAATTAAGTCATCTGTGCTAGTGTTGTTTTATAGAGGTTCAGGTTAGCTTATGGTAGTTTTACGAACAAAATGCGCGAGCGAGGTATTTTGGCTTGTTTCTGCAAGGTTGAAAGTGTTAAAATTATATTTTCATAATTCGTAATTTTGTTATTCTGTCTTCTAATTTTTTCATTTAACCTTTTTACTTTCTTCCTGTATTGTTTACACTTCATGTTTAATTTTTCAATAGTTTCCAGTTTTGCGTCCTGAACCTAAAAAAATCATAATTTATACTTGAAAAATTCACTGGGTTTCCATGAATCGGGGACTGAGGTGGTCCAACTAGTGACGTCAACAATTTTTTTTAGATTCCTCGCACCTATATCCGGTATCAGATATTACCCCATGTATGTTCCGCGATTTTTCTTAGTTTTCGAGTTATATTTTTTTGTGTATTTTTACCAATTTTAATGATTTCTGCCAGCGAGGTTTCAAAAATTCATATCTTTTTTCGTAGTAGGTATTTTGCAGTCTTTTTTTTTGTGGCGTAATTGTCTCAAATGTTGTTTTAATAAAAAAAGTAACTCAGCTTCCCAAAATTACTTAAAGTTACTAAAAAAGGTTTGAAAGTTGGAACTTTAGTTTTTAGTAGGATTTACTCAAACATACAACTTCAATTTAAAAATATAAAAAGGAGTTTCCATAGCTTCTGGTTAAGTTTAAAAACTCCTGAATTGGCCTTCGAATGCACACTAAAGTTATTTTACAGGAATTTCAATTAAATTTAATTTGTAATTACATTTTCAAGTTTAATTTACCATAACAATGACAAAAAGTAGATAAAATAATTTTAAATGCTTTAATCGTGTTTCAATAATTTTTAGCCTATCCGCATTCGAAGGCCAATTACAACAAAAAAGGGCTGATTAAGTACTATTTTTTTTTTATGATTTTTGGTAGTATAAAGGTGTTCGATGGAGTGCTTCAGCGACAGTTAAATAGTTATGTAAAACTAGATGATGCACAATTTGGCTTCAGGTCTAAATTATCTACTGAAAGTGCAATCCTGGCGCTGAAGCACACTGTAGGCTATTATACGGAGAGAAATACTCCTGTTTAAGCTGCCTTTCTTGACCTCTCAAGGGCATTTGACCTAGTAAGATATGAGGTCATGTGGACGAAATTGCGAGAAGCGGGTTTACCTGTTGCTTATGTTAACATGTTTAATTATTGGTATAGTCATCAGACCAATCAAGTGAAATGGTCAAATGTCCTATCGGATGAGTACAGGTTGGGGTGTGGGGTGAGGCAGGGGGGGGGTTAACCTCAATCACATTATTCAATCTGTATATGAATGAGCTGATTGTTGGGCTCAGAGGCACTCTTGTCGGCTGCTCTATTGACGGACTCTGTGTTAATAGTATCAGTTATGCGGACGATATGGTTCTTCTGAGCCCATCTATCAGCGCCCTTAGAAGACTCTTATCAGTGTGTGAGGCTTACATTATGACTCATGGTCTTAAATATAACGTGGCTAAAAGTGAGTTCCTTGTATTTGGCGTAGGCTCGAAAAAACCGGCCGTTGTTCCCCCTGTGACACTGGGTGGTGTGGTACTCAAACGTGTCACAGAGTTTAAGTACCTCGGACATGTGGTCACTGAGGACTTGAAAGATGACTCAGATATTGAGAGAGCACGGAGAGCGTTGGCTGTCCGCTGCAACATGCTGGCTCGTAGGTTCGTTCGCTGTATTGCAGATGTTAAAATTACCTTGTTCAAGGCCTACTGCCAGTCTCTGTACACGTGCGCCCTGTGGGTCAGATATACGCAGCGGACATACAACGCTATCCGTGTCCAATATAATAATGGATTGAGGGTGTTGTTGGGGCTCCCCCGCTACTGTAGTGCATCGGGTATGTTCGCAGATGCCCACTTAGACGACTTCCCTTCAGTGATGCGCAAGAGAATTGCATCGTTGATGCACAGGGTTCGTGGGAGCGCCAACAGTATTCTCGATGTTATCGCAAAAAAACCTGAGTGTGCCATTCTGAGGCACTGGGTACATACACATGTTCACGTGACCGGTGCCTCAGAAGGTATATATATATATATATATATATGAAATAACTTTGTTATTAAAATGTACTAACATAGTTTTTAAGGTTTGATTGTTACTAACATTTCTATGGATCTAGTATCTGAAATAAATTATTATTATTATTATAAAGCATGCGGAGTTTTTAAACTTAACCAGAAGCTATGGAAACTCCTTTTTGTATTTTTAAATTGAAGTTGAATGTTTGAGTAATTCCTACTAAAACTAAAGTTCCAACTTCCAAGCCTTTTTTGAGTAACTTAAAGTAATTTTAGGAAGCTGAGTTATTTTTTTTATTAAAACAATATTTAAGACAATTATGCCACAAAAAAAAAAGACTGCAAAATACCTACTACGAAAAAAGATATGAATTTTTGAAACCTCGCTGGCAGAAATCATTAAAAATTCACAAAAAAAATATAACTCGAAACTAAGAAAAATCGCGGAACATACATAGAGTATTTTCGGATACCCCCAAGTGCAAGGAATCTAAACAAAATTTGTTGACGTCACTAGTTGGACCACCCTGTATGCTGGTTTTAATACGGGCATGTAGAAGTAATGGACTAGAGTATCATACACAAGTATCTTCCAAACAGAAACAGTACCCTCAGTACAAACCAGCAGCGAAAAAGTATTCATATCGTCATGTCAAAGTTTCTATGGAAATAGATAGTTTGTTATTACTTCCGGTAGGGGCGCTGCTTAGTTTCCATAGAAATTTTGACGTTGGCGATACAATTACGATCAGTCAAATTTCATGCTTTAGTATACAGAACCAACGATATTAAATACCCTAGACACAACAACATACACAAAATCATGTCCAAAACCTGTCCAAAAGTTACATTGGACGATCCACGGAGCTCCGTAAGATGATCGCGTAGTCAAAAACAATATAAGAAATTATTTGAAAATTAAAAGTCACCTTTAATGCATACTGTATAAGGTCTTCATTAAAACGCATGCATCAAACAGTTCGAAAATCAAGCTCGTAAAATGTTATGAGTTATTGCTATATGCGGAAGAATAATGACCTTATTACTTTGACTCTACGCGCAATTCTGAATGCGCAGTCAGCAATATAGCAGGTACGGACCGCGAGGAAAAGAAACGGCTATATTACTGACCATACATTTGAATATCACAAAAGAATATTTTCTATTAAATCAGTTTATAGTAAGCATTGGAACAATATTTGCTTCAAATTGTTTAAAATAACAAACATTGATTGATTGATACCTGTAAAAATACGACTTTACATACTAAAGCATTTTCTTCGCATTTTTTACGGAGCTGTGCGGCATTTTGAATTTTCAACGGTCCGCGCGTAACTGTGAACAAAGAAGTGCTAGAGTGGTGTTCAAGCACTTCTTGATTGGGACACATTTTGAGCGCATGTGGTGTATCCAGGGTATTTAATATTGTTGTACAGAATGCAAAATGCAGTGATTAAATTTTCTGTCAAGTCTGTAATGGGGCGAATTTCTATCCGCTCTCTTAAGTCGACTAAATCTCGACTATCTCTTATTAGTTGGAAAAAAGTATGTCATTTTGTGTACTTACTGGTAAATTTGATGTAGTCTCATTGGACATACTAGGTATTGGATCTTGACATTTGTCACTTTCAACCTGAAAATTATAAAGGTTTTTAAGTCCACTGTAATTTTGTCCATAATACTCTTAATTATTTGATATTATAAAATCTACAATAATATAAAATAGTTATGATTTTATTTATTTTTTAAGCATTTAACTGCTAGATGTTTAAAACTACAGAAAATGTTTAAAATAATTATGCTACCACGGCCCTAATAATGGTCAGTGCATTCGCCCGGATAGCGAAGGATGCGGGTTCGAGTCCCGTCCGCTGCCTGGTCCGCGTGGATTTATTTCTAGTAAACTTTTAATATAAAATAATTACTGTTTACTAATAAGTGCAGGATTCTCTTAAGTCAACTATGTTTAAACTATCTCTATTACTTTGGAAAAATTATGTCATTTTGTGTACTTACTAGTAAATTTGATGAATACTCTTTGAACATACTAGTAATTGGATCTTGACCATTCACTTCACTTCCAATTTTACCCTGGAAATAATGAAAGTTTTTTGTATAGTAATTATTATAAGCACAACGTAATTCAGTCCATCATACTTTTAATTATTTAATGTTAAAAATTCTACTATAATGTTAATACAAAATAATTACTGATTATAATAAGTGCGGGTTTTTTTGATTGGATATGATTTTCAAAATGGCTAGCATGCTTGAGAAACCTTTCAGACAACAAATAACAATAAAAGAAGAAAAGCAAAATTTTGGATATGTGGCTGCAAGAAATAGGTTCTTTTTTCAATTTTGGAGCAACTACAAACGAAAAAGTTTACTACAATCAACTTTAAACGAAGTCAGAGTTATAGTTGCAAGAAAACTGTTATTTTTAAAATTTTGAATCTACATCAAAGAAAAAAGGTTAACAAACGATGATATTAAGAATTATAAGAAAAAATCGGGTGCTAGGTTCACACAGCTATGTAAAGAAGGGCTAAAACGTTAAAGTAATTAGGTCACAACACTAACCTAACCCACTATAAGTTGGTTTAACGTTCATTGGTTTGTAGTTTTTTTTTTGGTGAGAATTGCAAAATCCGTCCGCTATTTTATATCCAACTGGGTAGGCTTAATTAGGTTTGGTCAGGATAAATTAAGACCAATATCTGTTTATTTTACATAATACCGGCGGACCAGCAGGTACTCAATGCAAACCCTAGGAATTGTATACATTAACCTAGGCAAAGTATAAAATGGATATATATTTATAATATTTCATACAGTGCCTAGATGCCCCTGGCATTTTATACATTGCCTAGGAATTGGTATAGAATTCTTGAATTATACCGGTTGCCGGTAACATATACCTATATTGACTTTAAACAGTACACTTGTAAAAGATAGAGTTTACAATAAATAAATACTGACTTTATTATGGTAAAGAACGATGTCTGCCGATGATTGGTGCCCGTAATATAAAAAATTTGTATTATATATTCTAATAGTTCCTTATTACTTGATGTTATGCTTCAATCTAATCCACATCGCGTCACCAAAACATTCGCAAACACATCTACACATTTGTATCTCCCAAAAAAAACTGCCAGCAACAGCCCTGCCCCCCGTCAACTGACTCCTTCAGGTAGCTTTTTGGGATGTAAACAATAGGCAAGAACGAGTGAGAAATATTATTTATTTGTTGTTGTAAGATTATTTTCAAGCTGCAACATAGGTCATAAATCGGAACGAGCAATATTTCTCTCTCTCTCCCACATATGAGATCAGAGCCTTTTGTTTAAGCACAGATATTGCTTGCGCTTAGAATCTATAACCTTCCTTTCATCAAATGATTGTATAACTGCCGATAAAAACTTTTGATTAACTTTTTATTTTCTAAATATCTCCCTTATATCTTATTGTACGAGTTCTTTACTAAAATATCCAAATGTATTAAAAAATAGCTTTTCTTAAAGTTAACTATCATCTGTCTGCGTCCAGTATTTAAAGAGCAATAGACATAAAACAGTTTTTTATTTTTCCAGAAAACTTACATTTTTGCAGTTATCTTTTTATTCTCCGGGACGGCGAAATGTTGTTAATTTGAAGTAAAAAGGTAACCTGCTTTCTTTATAATATTTTTTAGGACTACTTACAGTTTGAAGTCAGTAATTATACAGTATTTAGTTAGTGGCTTTGTAATACCTACTATTAGTTTTATTTTTGTCTGCAATTTTCTACACAACTGTACTGTGCTTAACAAAACTGTCAATAAGGTCCAACTGGCAGTAGGGTATAGTCTTGAAGGTCCAATGGGCACCAAAAAAGAGTTCCAATGGGCAGTTTGAATATAAAACTTTTTAAGAAGGTCCAATGGACACCAAAAAAGAGGTCCAATGGGCACTTTTTGCTTTTGGGTCAAATCTTGAGGGTCCAACGGGTACTAGACCCACCAGTCTCGGGAAAGGTTAAATTATTTGTTAATTATACTTTTTACTTTATCACGTAAGACTTTGTAACCCTTCTTGAGAGAAATAAATAGATTACTATTATTAACTATACTGAATTTATTAGTAAAGCGGTTAACATACTTGGACCACCTAAAAAACATAATATTTAGTCCGGTTTCTTGTTAAACTATAATTACTTTAAGATTTAATACGTAAATGGGTATCAAGTATTAGCGAGTAATAATTGCTAGTAATAATATATACTTCATGTAAGTAAAATATTGTTGCAGAACCATGTAGGTTCCATGCTCCATAGCGATATTTTGTATTCTTTTTGATATTGCTGCTTTCTCTTGTCAATATATTTATTATTCTTTGATTCCTTTCCATACTTACTAAAAGAATTCGTGAAGGTACGGCATCGTCTCGCAATACTATGTGATTTAAAGTCCGATTAAAACAGGATTCCTCAAAATGGAGAGAGCAAATGCAAATGGACTTTGTATGAGTCTTTAAATTTTCCACACCTATTGTATCCAGCCACATTTTTCTTTTTAGATCATTTTTAGGTAACCTAGAACACATTAAACATCCTGTAAACATTGTTATGAAAAAATCAAATCTACAACAAAAAGCTAGTACTGTATTAACTTTTTGTTGAAGGTTTGATTTTTGGTTTGCTAACAAAAATGTATCGAAATATATATTGTGGGTAAAAGCAAAGATTTGAATTGAGTAATATTAAATTTTTGTGAACATTGATTTGTAAGTTAGTATTTACCTAGGATTATAAGTTTTGACAGTTTTGATGACCTCCATGGCCGAGTGGTGGTGTCGCCGACTCGAGAGGTCCCGGGTTCAAATCCTGGTGGGGGCAGATTTTTGTGTGATAAATACAAGCATTTGTACTCCAGTCCTGGATGTTTAATATGTATTTCTATATAAATATACTTATATACGTACAGTATATGTATTCTATCCGTTACCCTAGCATCCCATAACACAAGCCTTACAGTACAGTGCTTACTTTGGGGCTAGGCTAATTGGTGGGAGTGTTGGAAATATTTATTTTATTTATTTATAATGTCTGTCAATTTTTTTAGGATTTTAAGACAATTATCTAATTAAAAATATAATAATTATTGAATAAAATATTGCTATTTCTATATAATAATTGATAAACTCTTGAAGTAAACATAACTCTACTCATATAAATCTATAAAAAATCACTTTACTGCACATATGATAAAAAAAAGGGAAGATACGATATGCTCATACTAGCATCAAATAAAATGTGCTCTGACTCAATTACAAAAGTAACTTTCCCACACGCACACTTCTTTAAATAAACATTCTATCAAACGAGCGAGACAGAACTTTATGCTTCAACATAGCATTAACAAAACAGGGAGTACACATTGCTTGGCAGCTGACTGCGTTTTCTTTTGTATGTCTTGCTGTGCTGTATTGTAATTTGTTATTTGATCTTGAACTATTTGTGTTCTTTATAAAGCATCGAATTTATAACACAGAATATATTGTCATATCGAGTGCACATGCAGCGTGTTTGGAAGTGAATTTTTGACTACAGAGGATTATGTTCATGCACCACCATTAAAGTGGTAAACTTTTGAGCCGCGAGTGCAGTATCTTCCCTTTTTGTTATAATCTAAGTTTCTACAGGATTTGATACAGACCTGTACCCTTAGTACGAGTTTTACAATTACGAAAACTATGATAGTTTACGTGAGCTCACACTCGTACTAAGGGTACTGATACGTACCGGTGTACCGATATGTTTGGTAGAATTCTACATTTGTTGCCGCAACCCACAATACTGCAATTAGGCATGTTCCTTGTGCTCTCTTTCACTATTATTAACTATAGAAACGATAAAGTCTCAAATAAAAACACTTTTGGTAGAAAACACAGAAAATAAATACAACAAAACAGACGACACAGACGTTGACAATTGACAACCACAAACTAAACTACTAAAAATTGTTGACACCACAGTTTTTAGGGATCCGTAGTCCTGACAAGAAACCCTTATAGTTTCCTCATGTACGTCTGTACGTCCCCGGTTTTGCTTGAGACTGTTATCATTAGCACTAGAAAGCTGTAACTTTGTGGAGATATGTATAATATACACGTACGTGATTGATATACATTGTATTTTAATCACTCCGACCAAATGGTAGAATAAAATTTTGAAGAATATTATTTTATGGCCCTTTACGTCATACGTCCCTCCCTTACACGTAACTGAGGGATGTTTTTTTATTGATGTGTAACATCTTTCCTCTCGTTTTCCTGCAGTTTGTGGGAGTGATTTCGTGAAATGGGACGGAAGTGTGTAACAGGAAGTCGAGAAAGCGCGCGCTAATTGATTGGATTTTAGAACATAATATTCAAATGGCTGATTCCTTTTGTAGTAGATTCTATTTATGTTCTACTACTTTAGGATGGGGTTTCATATGTTACACATCATACGCGACTACTGTTAGGCTCGCTCGTTTTTTGATGTGTAACATCGTTCCTCTCGCTTTCCTGCAATTTGTGGGAGTGATTTCGTGAAATGGGACGGAAGTGTGTAACAGGAAGTCGCGAAAGCACGTGCTATTTGATTTGATTTTAGAAAATAATGTTCAAAGGGCTTATTCCTTTTGTAGTAGGTTTTATTTATTTTTTTACTAATATAAAGTAAGGTTTCAAATGTTACACATCATACGCGACTACTGTAAGGGTGCGGCCAGCGCTTTGTTTTCTGAGACTGAATCTGAATCTGAATCAGGAGTGTACTCTGGCCGTACCCTTCGACTACACTGTTTATTTCTCGCGCTTGTTTTCGAAATCTGAATCTGAGTGCACTCTGGCCGTACCCTACGACTCGCTCGTTTTTGACGTGACAACGTCTTAAATTAGGTTGCGGCTGGGAGTCACTTATGAAAAAGTGTAACGCTCGGTAACGTTACGATGAGTCTCTCGTGTTAAGTTTAAGTTTACATGTACAATGTTTTAGTAAACAAAATATATTTCTATAGTTAAAATTTGTGCAATTCTTATTTTCATTCAATTCCTTGTTCCTATTGTGCAATTTAATTATATTCATATCAATAAATATTCTACCGAGAAAAAGACGTTGTCACGTAAAATCTTCGCCCGTAAAACCGACTTTACAGGCAACCATTTTTTTTTTCATCGTCTTCCCTATCGTGTGGGGTATCGTTGAATAGGTCCTTTAAAATTACTTAGCGAACGAAATATTTAACTTTGAAGTGCTCATTTTTGTTCGGGTAGGCCGTCGCATTCTTAATTTTTCCGAATTACCGAATTTAAAGAGATAAGTATGACAACTATGGAACCCTACTCTGTGCGTGACACAACATGTACTTAGACAGTTTTTTTAATTCTGTCTTCTGGGAAGGCAAGGGGAACAATGATCATACAGCCTAGTCATCAGTTTATTTATTTTATTATATTTTATGTTACTTACTCGAATTTTAATGTCAAAGGTTTTAAAGCATTTTTATAAGTTTTCTTGTTTATCCTAATATTTAATGTGTGCGTGTTTAATGTCAATAATCAAGTACTAGTGATGTACCGCTATTGTCGATACTTGACGATATTGATCTTCGATTACTATTACGAACAAATTAAAATCGTATCGACAGAAAAAGGATTATTAATTAAATTAATTAGATAATGAGCCCAATTTCAGCATGATTATCTAAACCTAAATTTAAATTTCACAATCGTGTATCCTTATCATTCTCTATACAGAATGAAAAAGAGACACTGATGTTAAATTTCTTTTTAAGTTAAGAGAATCCTGCCAGAATCGACACCATTATTTCATGATATTTTTATCAAGATGGAACTTATTCATTATCACTAGCCGTAATCGATATTTCATGGTTTTCATCGTCGTCTTCACCCTCATCATCGTCTGTAGAATCCCCTGTATTTATTATAATTTGGTTATCTATCACGGCATCAATATGTACATATCTGTCCCAATCAGCGAAACAAAATTTTTTGTTCGTAAAACCACACTTTCCCTAGCTTCTTGCAACAATAACAGCATTTTGTTTGTAGTAAACGGTGGGCTGGTATTTTTACGAGCCGCATAATCTAAAATAAAGGTTAGCGTGTTAATATAGCAACTGATAATATCTTAATATTGTTAAAAATAAATTATAAAAAAGATTTGTTTAAACTCTTACCAATAAATACATGTAATTAAAATTTTTCACTGACACAACAGAAGCTAACAAATCAAGTAGTCATCTAATGTCACGTCAAAGTTAAGTCAACAACAAACATTATTACCATGCAGTTGCGCTAGCTTGGTTTGCCGTCTCCTTCAACACGCCCTCTAAAACAAGGCTAGTGCAGATTTCATATTCACAAAGGTAGGCTTCGACAGTCCTTTGGTCATGATGTCTGCGACTTGAACGAAATTATGATCCTATACTTTACTGGTAAGAACAAAAAAACTCTATTTATCACCACGTTCACTCAATAGCCATGATGTATATGAGTATCGTGGGATCATCTGTTCCTTGTGAGCGCCGTTTCACAATTGCCAGAAACATTGCAAGCGATGAGCTAAACCGCTTGGATACCTGTAGACTTGACAGACTGTTGTTTTTAAAAAGTTTAGATATTAAGCATTGGGAACTATAAACTACATTATCTATTTTCTTAACTTTGTAAACCAATAAATTTAAAAAATAAATGTCTTATAATTTTTAAAGCATGTAACTGCTTGATGTTTAAATCTAAAGAAAATATAACTAGAAAAAAATTCCACGCGGACCAGGCAGCAGACGGGACTCGAACTTTTTTTTTCTAGTTATATTTTCTTTAGAAATAAATGTCTTGTTTTATACCTGATCTGATGTTTTCATATGGTAATAAAAATGTTTTTTATATTCTAATTACCTTATTTTACTGATAAGAGATCGTTACATTATAAAAGTATTTGGTTTTTAATATAATAGATTTTAAACAAAAACTTGAAAAAAGATCAATTTTTCAGAAATCGGTTTTTTGGACTCGATTTTTTTGTGGATCGAATCATAAGGTCAGGAACGAATCAATTTCAAAATCGACCTTTTTCGGAAAGAATCGCCATCCCTAGAACGTAGACCAGACTTTTTTTAACGTTCTCCCTTTTTCAAGAAGGCAAAGTGAACAAAGCCTATACAGCCTAGTCTACAGTTTTTTTATATTAGAATGTGGGTTTCTAATGTTTCTTGGAGTGTTTGGCATGAAATGTATCGAGTTCACTTTCTCGATAAACTTCTGTGAGGTAGTCAACACTACAATAAAGTTCCCCTCCAATTTTATTTCACAATATCCACTATGAACAAATTAAAGAATAATTATTAAAATATCCAAACCGCACTCTATGAAATCCCGCTAAAAACTCGTAGACCAGAGACTTAGTCTTTTGTATAATCTCCTTAGTCTGTGGTGGCAATGTTATGACCACAGACTACTAAACTAAGAGGTACTGTTATGTCAAAAATTGCCATACGCGTCGGTTATGTGTAAGAAGACGGTCATTGCTTGTTGCAACTATTTGTTTTGTAAATGTGGTGCATTCATGTGATAATGAGAAAACAAACGGTAGACTATAAATTTGTTAAGTGATGCATGTGTTCTAACTCCAGTGCCCAGTTATAAATTTGTTTTTTTGTATGTCATTGGCCCGACAATATGGCGGCTCCTCGACATAAATCACAACAGAAAAATATATCTTCTATATTCTCGAAATTACACGGTGCTTTTTCGGACGCAGTATGCCCTACGAAGCTAGCAACCGACAAAAGAACATTAGACAAAACATGGAAACTAATGGACAAAGTGGTGAAATTGTGTCAACATCATAAGATGAACCTAAAAAACAGTCCTCCTTTTATTCTTGATATTTTGCCGGATACATATCAGCGATTGCGCGTAATTTACTCTAAATACGAAGATAATATGCAGGCTTTAAACAATAATGAACATTTCAATATATTTATAATTAATTTGATAAGGAAATGCAAACAGGCTATAAAGTTGTTCAAGGAAGGAAAGGAGAAAATGTTTGACGAAAATTCTCACTATAGGCGTAATTTGACAAAGTTGAGCTTGGTCTTTAGCCACATGCTTAGTGAGTTGAAGGCTATGTTTCCCAATGGGACATTTGCTGGTGACCAGTTTCGTATTACAAAAAGTGATGCTGCAGAATTCTGGAGAACAAACTTTGGCAATAGGTAAGTTAAAGCGATTTCTTCTTATTTATCTTTTTGAACACTTTATGAAAACTTAGTATATAAAACAAGCTAGCTAATATGTAACAGATAAAAGAGTCAAAACATGTCAATTGAAATACCATGCCTCGGTATGGCCACAGACAGGCTTCAACTGTTTTTTCCTATGATAAGACTGTTTAAAGGAACATTACTAGAAAATTTATAAATCTAACAGTGCTTAATCTAAATGCTTAAATATTTAAGTTATTGATTTAATTTTTCAATTTGTCAGTATGGCTTCATAATTTTTATGATAGGTTGTGCAAAAGACAGAAGAAGTGTATTTTAATATGTGGCTTTCTGGATTCCTCTGGGAAAAAAGTCAAAAACACTGAATGTTAAACTTATTGTGTACTGGGGACTTTATTCACAAATACTGAGATCCATGATTGAAATTTAGATGGAACCTTAAATTGTACTTAAAAACCTTTTAGTCGAAAAAATAGGGTCTAGCTTGCTTATGGAACCAAATTTGTTTAGTCTGCAACTAATAACTATGCAGCAGTAGTCTTTCCTACTCTTATATTCTTTTAATGGAAAGGATTCAGTGGAGTGCTTTCTTTATTTTACTATTGCTGACAAATGAGAAGGCTTGAAAACTTTATCATACATTATACAGCCTGCTTTCCCTTAGTTGTAGTCTTTCATTGTTCAGCAATAATTATAAAATCTGGGCTAGGAAACATTGCTTTCATCAGCACTTTAAATAGTACATAGTATTTTTATAAGACTGGAGATTAGAGTAGACCCTGTCAGCAGCTTCAGGGTTTTTCTTTTGCTGCATGCTGGGGTGAAGGGAATTGCATGTTCCGCTGCTTAGTATAAATTTAAAACTAATATTTGTCAAATGTCTAGGTCGGTGACAATTTCCCAACCAACGTCTGAGCTGTATTGTTGTCGTTTTCTTGATAACAAAATGGGGATTACTTAAATAACATTCATGACAAACTGTGATTTTTGAGAAAAAAATGATGTTGCAGTTTTACGAATGAGAATTGTTGCTGAGGCATTTGTTATTTTATTTTGAACCATTTGTGTTCTTTTTTAACGTTTTATCTATAAAACACAGAATATACGTAATATTGATATGTAGAGTGTACATGCAGCGTGTTTGAATGTCCAATTGTGACTACAGTGAATTGTGATTGTGCACCACAATTTAAGCGGATCACTTTTGAGCCACGAGTGCCGTATTTACCCTTTTTGTTTTAATCTAAGGTTAAAAGCCTTCATACAGTATAACAAAATCACCAAGTACAACAAAGTAAATTTTTCACTCTATGGTTTTCAGCAAGCAGCGAACTAGCAAAAACGCTAATACGCAAAAACCATTTTTTGTATGGAGCCATTTTTTGTATGGAGCCATTTTTTGTATGAGTTTCTTTAACTTTATTACTTGTTCTAGTGCCATAGTTACGCGTCTTTTGTGAAAAATCCAAATGAGTACCCATTTTAGTTGAAAAGATAAGGCCGATAGGGTTTGGTTTGTAACCATTTGGGTATAAAATTGTAAAAAGCGATTCAGTCAAACTTTAAGAGGACATCGTATTTTCCGCTCTTATTGGGGTGCCTGTCTGAGGAAGAAACCTCTACTTTAAAGAGGACCTTATTCATGTGTCTTGCCTTTATCTCTGTACATTTTATCTCGAATGGCTTGTTCCTGGAGTCCCAATACTATCATGTCCTTTTGGACATTCGTCATCCAGGTAGTTTGAGGTGTTCCCACAGTAAAATAACCCTACTTTTTGATGTTTTTTCTGTGTGTAAGGTTCCACAGATCCACGTGGTAGGGGATGGGGTCAGGGTAGGCAACGCGCCAGTAACACCGAAGTATCACAAACGTCTATATAGCTTGGCAAGCTAAATTTTTGTTTTCCACCCATTGGTCCATCCAAAAAGTATAATTTGATTTTAAAGCGCTGCAGTTGCGCTGCCCTCGCTAGGTTTGAGAATCGTAGTGATAAACTGTTGCGCAGCCACGGCGCTTGTATCAGTACATCACAATTCCCAAATGCCCGCCTTTAATCTCTTTCAAAAAGAATTTAGAAAATACGGCATCAGTGGCATTGTGGGCAAATATGCGAATAATCTTTGTCCGGCCGACTTCATTCAACCGTGTAGTACAGTACAAGAAGTCAATGAGATAATACCCGCACTCACACAAACACGTGTTTCGCACCAGTGGCAAAAATAAAACAATGTGACATTGTCACATAATTTCCTATTCTCACCGCTTCCTTATTGACAGCAAGAAGCTCTTTCACGTGGGAACGTTGACTGTGTAATTGCCGGTTCGTTTGCACGACTGCAAAGTAGAATAGTTCATTAGAATGACGCTTGTTTGCTTTTTGCAACAGTTGGCGATTAAATATTTATTGAAAATAACTGTCGATCGCTGCTACTTTAAGGCACCTGTCCTACCGCCGATGATGAACGACAAGCGAGTAGAGTAAGAAACTAGAAAAGAGATGGCGATGGAAAGAGCAGCGGGAAACGAGTGTTGTTCCGATAGTGTTATCGCAGGACTATACGCAAGGGTGCGTGTACAACGAGCGATTACACGTGCCACTCGCTTGCGGTGACAGACCTGAGCAAAATGCACGCGTACGCATTTTCGCCCAGATAAGCATCGTGGAGGTAGTTCTGGCCGGCAGTATGAACAGTCAGCGATCAACTATTATATACATTCCTTATATGTACCACTTTTGTTTACAGGGAATGTCTATAGTACGTATCTTGAGCGAGAAAATAGTCGACAGGAAATCGCTTCCACGCCGGCTGTGGGACAACTCGCGTGGTAGAAGGAAATCCTTGGCAGCAATTTTCTCGTGTATATTTATTTATTTATTTAATCTTTAATGCCTTTACATTGCATATGGCGGACTTAATGCCAGCATGGCATTCTCTACCAGTCAACCGGAAAGAACGTGCAGAGTCAATAAAACGGCAGACAATCATAGGAAAGAGCAAACATCAAACAATGAAAAAACAAAATTATATAGCGTTAACAGTATATCTAGTGAAGGTCGAATCTAAACAAATGACAACACCCCATCTGATCAAGATTTTAAGTGACCGTGGCGCCAGTATAACAGTTTATCCTGCCACTCTTTGCCGGTTGGCTAGATGATTTTGATAGATCTTGTTTGGTTTGAATCAGTTTTCATTTGAAAGGGTTCCTTATAAATCTGGTGAAAGATTGATGAGTGCCTTCAGATATAAACAATGGAACTCCCCAATGACAAACAGTACACATCAGTATTTTCGGTTATTTTATAAAGTAAGATTGTTTTCCAGATTGTCCAGATACCTATAATTAGCTGAGATTATTCTTTTTTATAATATAATATATAAAAATGTAAACAGTAACATAAATTGTTAAAATTTGTGATAATTTGCGAGCACTTATGAGAGCACGATGAGAAAAATATCAAAGAGAAAATAATGGAGAGTTTTGAATTACGTCAGTCATGTAAACGTAACGATGATTCTTTAGATAGATTCAATGCTCATGTTTGTTTTAACTTTATATTAGCTCGATTGTCTAGATTACCTTACCTGACTTTCTCAGTATCCGATATCCATGCCCCATTAACAGCGTACACATTACTGATCCCAGTTAAATATTAAGAAAACATGATCATGTTACTGACATATTAGAAGTAGAACCAGTTTTCTTTGTTTAATTGCAATGCTTCAATTAGTACTGCGTTGTTGTTTTTAATTAATATTAATTTGTGTACTAAGTTCCTATGGCGCCCGACATTGCTGGCGTCTGTTACTTACATAATTTTGATTAACGTCATTCGAAACGATCAAAATGTCGATTTAGGCACTTTACAACTACACAACACCAATTGCATTGCATGTATCGCCTTTTAGTCATCACCATCAGCATTAATAGTAATGCTGATGGTGATGCGCAACAAATCTATGTTATTTGTTGTCTTCAGCTGTGTTTCTGGAATAATTCGTCCTGAAAACCTTAAAAAGAGCGAAGCCCCGGGTTCATTATAGGGAAAAGCTAGACGTTTTCTGCTATACGCATTTTTTTCTGATTCTGAGATTTGATTTTAACATAAAGGTCTGTCTTCCATCATTGAATTTATTTAATTACTATAAAATTCAATGCCACCAGCGTTTATAACATTTCCCTAATAATAACAAATAAACGTAAAATGTTTTTAACCCAATTTTATGAATGAAATATGCACTTACCGGTTTTATTACATTCACAATAATTTTATCTCTTATCTCTATAAAATACGTTAAGATTGTGTTTTATGATCTTATCGTATCCGGTCTTGAGTTCTACAGTATCGGAAAGAATGGCTTAACTTGACATATTACATTCATATTACAGCTACGTTTAATCTTTATATTATGTTACATTTTTTTTTCTTAAACTCACTTTAGCATACGTTGGGGATTGGGATGGAGGAATTGCTGGCTGTCTTATGCGTCTGTTTGTATGCCTGTTGCCTAAACCACTGAACAAAATATAGATAAATTTTGGTATAGAAATAAAGGGTACTTTGGACCTATGAGGCTACGTCGACTGACTAGAACTTGGAGAGAGAAAATACATAAGGGGTGAAGGTAAGTAGAGTAAATAAATTATTCGCAAAAATACTCTCCAGATTAAAATAAAAAGAGGGCGACATTTTATTTTAATCTGGCGAGTATTTTATACGGGTATTTTCGTGACAAGAAATTCAACAAAAAAACCAAATAGTCAGCCGAGGTAGATGTGAAACATGAAACCTATTAAAGAAATAAAAAAAAAATGTTAACCTTTTAACAACTTAAAAACAATGTTGGAGCCATGGGTTTGAACGAAGTGTAACCATTACTTACTACTGAGAAGCCCACGGGTAGTTTTGCTGAGATTTTATCCATGAGTCCTACGCTAGTTAGAAATAAACTTTGATAGCTCAATATCCTTAAGTTTGTATCGTATT